TACTTAATGACCTTTTTTTTTTTTTAGATTCCATATATATATGTGTTAGCATACGGTATTTGTTTTTCTCTTTCTGACTTACTTCACTCTGTATGACAGACTCTAGGTCCATCCACCTCAATTTCACAATTTGTATGGAAACACAAAAGACCCCAAATAGCCAAAGCAATCTTGAGAACGAAAAATGGAGCTGGAGGAATCAGGCTCCCTGACTTCAGACTATACTACAAAGCTACAGTAATCAAGACAGTATGGTACTGGCACAAAAACAGAAATACAGACCAATGGAACAGGATAGAAAGCCCAGAGATAAACCCACGCACATATGGTCACCTTATCTTTGATAAAGGAGGCAAGAATATACAGTGGAGAAAAGACAGCCTCTTCAATAAGTGGTGCTGGGAAAACTGGACAGCTACATGTAAAAGAATGAAATTAGAACACTCCCTAACACCATACACAAAAATAAACTCAAAATGGATTAGAGACCTAAATGTAAGGCCCGACACTATCAAACTCTTAGAGGAAAACATAGGGAGAACTCTCTATGACATAAATCACAGCAAGATCCTTTTTGACCCACCTCCTAGAGAAATGGAAATAAAAATAAAAATAAACAAATGGGACGTAATGAAACTTAAAAGCTTTTGCACAGCAAAGGAAACCATAAACAACACACTCATTTCTTGTTGGTTGAGTAAACTGGACTATGGTAGAGATAAGCCAACATTTTCTCAGTCCTGCCCTACTAGATGTCTAGAGCTTCATCTTAACTGGTGGATCAGCTGCTTTTGACTCTCCTGACTTGTGGCTTAAGGCTTTCTGGGTGTTTGCATTAGTAATGGAAGTTGTGGAGATACCATTGTTGAGAAGACTGCTGGTACTGGGTGTTATTTCCGTGATTTTCTTTATCCTTTTCCTTACTGATCTCTCTAAGGCTGTCTTTCGAGATTAAAGTCCCTGTGAAATCGTAATCTGTGATCCTAATACACATTGTCCCACTGGTCTGCCTCTCCTCACACACTTAGTATCAGTACACTAAGTCACTTCTCCCTCCTTAGGAATGTTGGAATATTGTGTTAGATGCTTAACAATAAGAATGGTGGTGTTGGTCTTGCCTTTTGAAACATGCATGTGCTTTTCTCTATTCTCATTATTGTGGTAGTTCTGTTGGGAATTGCATGGAGACCTCTATCTGTACTCTTCAACAACCTCAACCACAGCCTCTCCATTTCCTACTGGAAGTTATTCTTTATGGTAGTCCATTGTTCAAATGCATCTTCTTTGGAGTCATTTCCTATTGATGAAATCGTGTCAATGTGTTATATTAAACCACTTCACTTTTCCCAAAACCTTTGTAGCAATAATCTTCTTGTCCCCACTAGTGGGTGGTACTGTTGTGAGGCTGCCAAGGGTGGTGGGGTGGGGGAGGAGTGGCTGTTGGGTCTCAGCCTCACTACTCGTGTTATGGAGATGGTAGCTCCTCTTAGATTGTGATGCTGGATAGCAGGGCAGCTCGTGGCTCTCTGGGGTCTACTCTCTGCTTCCATTACCAGTTAAACTCAATCTTTCTCTTGTTCACATCCTGTGGCAATCATAGATACACTGCTTGGATCTCCCTTTGAAAAAAACTTCTTCAGTTTCAGGGAGTACATTTAGCTGACAGCCTCAGCTGTTAATATCTTCAAGGCTCCATAGTTTTTGAGCTGAGGCCTTGTGTTTCCTGGGAAACCTCCAGCTAGTGACTGAGCATGGTGTGAGTACTAGGCCCAGTGTGGCACTCCTCTAATGGTCAGTCTTTGCTCTGGAGCTCCCTGATGGGTTGGCCAAGACTGTCAGATCCGCATCAAGGTCTGAGGCTTTCTTTGCTCAATCCTGCTTTATGTCCCCTTTCTTTCAGAGGTTTCAGATAGGCATCATGGTCTGAAAGTTTTCCATGACCAGTCCTGTTTCCTTCTCCTTTTATCTTTCACAATAAACCTCTTGTCCTCATAGCTGTCTCAACATCTGCTTCCCAGAGGACCCAACTGACATATACTATTTGTACTGGTTATTTACCTGATTTCTGTCCAAATCAAATTTCAGTGAGCATTATCTGATTTCCCTTTTTTTAATCCTCTTCCTTGAATCCTCTCAGTCTTTTCCAGCTCATCGTTTCCCCACCCCCGACACTTGCTTCTCCTCTAAGGTACACTTAATCTGAGTAAATGGCACCGCGAGTTACTCAGTTGCTTTTACATTTGTCTTTCACATTTTAGTCCTTGACCCACTTAGAACTATTTTGGAGGGAGGGAGAATACTGTGTGAGATAGGGATCAGTCAGTAAAACTGGAGAATTACCATAGTCAGGGATGAACAAGGTCACAGAGGTAATGAGGGGTCAGATCATGTAGGTCTTTGTTATATGACATCAAAAGGCCTTTGGCTTTTACTCTGTGTGAGATGGGGAGCCACTGGAAAGTTTTGAGCAAAGGAATAATCTGACTTAGTTTTTACCAGGAATGTTTAGGCTGTTCTATGGAGAATAGGCAGTAGGGCAAATCTGGTAGAAGAGAGAGAGTAGTTGGGAGAGAATTGCAGTAATCCAAGATCAAGGCCTTGGTGGCTTACAACAAGGTGATTTCCGTGGAACTGGTGAGAAATGACAGTATCTGGGGGTAAAACTCGGGCATCATCATTTTATTTTGTAAAAAGTCTCCCTAGGAGTTTCTGGTGCACAGTGAGGGTTGAGAGTCTATGCTACAGTTCATGAATTTTTACAGGGGTATTTGGAATTTAAGCCACACAGACTTCTTCCTCATCAGCTTGATTTAGGAGAGAAGAGAAGCATAGTAATAATAGCAAGTGCTTTTGCATCTGACTGAGGTTCAAATCCGTGTTAGTTATTAGCTGTATAACCATGAGCTTCAGTTCCTTCATTTTAAAAAGGGAGGTAGCCACTTCATAGGTATGTTTGTTATGTTGAATGAACCAATGTAGATTAAATGAGCCAGTCTCTGACATATATGTGCTCACAAAGTAGTAGCTTAAAGAAAGATCTAGTCTATCATGTTGGTAAAAGTATTTTAAATTGATGATGCTCAGTGTTGATAGGGTATGGAGGAATAGGTCCCATTGTTGATGGGAATATAAATGGAGAGCAATTTTCAAATATCTATCAAAATTTCAATCTCCTTAACCCAGTCTGCTTCTAGAAATTTTATTTATGAAAACAGTCACACCTATGTACATATACTCAGTGCAGCATCTTGTAATGGCAAACAATTGGAAACAATTTAAATTACTTCTAGTAAAGGAATAAATTATGATGCATTCCTTTTATGGAATGCTATGAAGTTGTTAAAATTAATGTTGATCTGTCATGGAAAGATTGCCAGTACATATTTTAGCTTTTAAAAAAGCACCAGGGCTTCCCTGGTGGCACTGTGGTTAAGAATCTGCCTGCCAATGCAGGGGACATGGGTTCGATCCCTGGTCCGGGAAGATCCCACATGCTGCAGAGCAACTAAGCCCGTGCACCACACCTACTGAGCCTGTGCTCTAGAGCCCACGAGCCACAACTACTGAGCCCATGCACCACAACTACTGAAGCCCGCATGCCTAGAGCCCGTGCTCCACAACAAGAGAAGCCACTGCAGTGAGAAGCCCGTGCACCGCAATGAAGAGTAGTCCCCGCTCACTGCAACTAGAGAAAGCCCACATGCAGCCACGAAGATCCAACTCAGCCAAAACTAACTAACCAAATAAATAAAATTTATAACAAAACAAACAAAAAACATAAAAAAGCACCAGTATTAAAGCTGAGAGTATGTACTTAAATCTTCAAAGTTTGAATTTTTAACAAGATTATATTTATTTCGTCTTCAAATTTTTATATGAGCCCATATAGAAAAAATATTGATTGACAGTAACTTCATACATAGACAGTAATACTTATAAAATTATTAGTATTCATATTTTCTTTAAAGATACCGTATGCCTTGTTATTACAATAACATTGTTTTATATACTATATATCTGGATTTTAAAAAGATTTTAGAGCTGTAAATTATTCTAAGATAAATTATAGATGCCTCAATGATTTCATTTAGGAAATACATATGAAAATTCCATATGTTCAGCATTTTATTACATAATATTGAAGATGCAGATATATAACAAATAGTTCCCATCCTTACTTGACTAATAATCAAATGGGTGGGTAAGATGAAAACAGATGAAATAAGTGAAAAAATACACATATACACGCAGTACTCATACTCCTGTGTGTATATATATATATATATATATATATATATATCTGTTGATCTGTGCGATGACAAGTGCATGACAGCATGTGTAATAGTATTTTTTGCAATGTTTATAATAGTAAAAAAAGTTGCACAAACCTAACTGACCATCAATAGGTATTAAATAAGTTGTGATAAACATAATGGAATATTATGTAAAAATGTAAAATATTTAAATCTATAGTTATTAACAGGTAAGATCCACAGTCTATTAGGAGAGAGAAAACAAGTTTAATACATAATATATAACGTCTTCTCTGTATAGATGGTAAATACTGTAGTCGTCAAAGAAAGTAAGGAGTGGAATGGATTTAGAGAACATTTTTAATTAGTATTTCCCAAACTTTTTGGACTCAGATTCCTTTTCTTAATAATTTTAAAACAATTTGATCAATTGTACAGTATTTGATAGTGAAATTTAAAACTATTTATATCTACATAGTATTAAAAAATTGCTTCATTAATTTTTGTTCTGTGTTCTTCAGAATCACTGTTGGCTCATAGTGAGTTCCTGGTCTTGACAATTGGCAAATTGATTTATGGTCCCATAGATAAAATTCATTCCCTAATCCTGAGAATCTGTGGAAATCCCTTGTAAGGAAAGTAGTATCATAGTTTTGTAAGTTTGTAAATTATAAAATTGTTTTTGACAGTGTTTAGGAATACCATAATTTGTGGCATTTTAAAAGTGTATATTTTATTCTCACTTAGGCCGAATACATCAAGCAATGGTAACATCTTTAAATGAAGATAATGAAAGTGTAACTGTTGAATGGATAGAAAATGGAGATACAAAAGGCAAAGAGGTATGATCACTGGGTTGAATTTTATTTCTAGTCTTATAATCAAGATTCTGAATATGAAACAAAACAGAAAACTGTATAGTTTAATATAGTGCATGTATCCTTTATCATTCTTGAAAAACTTTCAAGTGATTAAAAAATTTCACTGATAAAAAGGTAGATTCCTCCTGCATATCTTATGTGATTGGACATATGATCAAGACAACAAAGTACTAACTTAAGAGAGATTCTTTTAAATATATGTGGGTTATAATTCTAGATAATTTAATTTTCAAGGTAATAATGTTCCTTAGGCTGAAATTGTTTAACATTTATTCTCTGTGTATAAATTTATTTGAAAATGAAAGGTTAATTGTCCAAATTCACTCTCAAAATATATGCATTTTATCAAACAGATTGACCTGGAGAGCATCTTTTCACTTAACCCTGACCTTGTACCAGATGAAGAAATTGAGCCCAGTCCAGAGACACCTCCACCTCCAGCATCCTCAGCCAAAGTAAACAAAATTGTAAAGGTTAGTGATGCAAATTCAGAGCAGGGTGTGTGTGTATTTTGGTTTGAAATGGGACTGTGAAGAGTATGTTTAAGTATTTGTTTGCTTTTTTAGTAAAACAATTCTTTCTGCCATCTACATGCGTGTATATACACACATACTTTCAAGGATCGAACAGTTGTCTAATTCACAATTATGACGATCATTAGGTAAGATCCTAGAAATTCCATGCCTGATTAGGATTTTTCCTAAGACTAATTGTTTCTTAGGAGACATGGGTCGAAACCATTTGCTTGCTAATAATATTTGTTGAGTGAATACATATGACTTTGATAAAAAAAAAAAAAAGAGTTTCTTATTCATAGTAAATTCCCATTTTAGTAGTCTTTTGAAATAGTAATTCTGCTATTTACATTTATTAAAAAAATGGGAAATGACAGATTGTAGTGTAACTATTTCTGTATTATCTGTGAAGAATAATTTATTTATAAATTTTAAAACCATGCTATGCCCCCCAACAGTTTTATCTTCACAAAAATAAAAGGCATGTGATTTTTATTATTTTAAAAGATAATTCCTCTTCCTCTCTATTGAAATGTCTCTGTGTTAAAACTTTGTATCAGAATACAACTCTTTAAATCAGATAGTCCCTCGCAGTTGTTAAATCTGCAATTCTTTGTGTTCAAAATTCTTACTACATGGACTTCCCTGGTGGCACAGTGGTTAAGAATTCGCCTGCCAATGCAGGGGACATGGGTTCGAGCCCTGGCCTGCGAAGATCCCACATGCTGCGGGGCAACTAAGCCCTTGCACCACAACTCCTGAGTTTGCGCTCTAGAGCCCGAGAGCCACAACTACTGAATCCACATGCCACTACTGAAGCCCGCGCACCTAGAGCTTGTGCTCTGAAACAAGAGAAGCCACCGCAATGAGAAGCCCACGCACCACAACGAAGAGTAACCCCCACTTGCTGCAACTAGAGAAAGCCCGGGTGCAGCAACGAAGACTCAATGCAGCCAAAAATAAATAAAATAAATTAATCAAAAGTTCTTACTACATTGTTGATTTTATCTTCTACAAAGATTAATATGACATGACTTTAGCCCTATAGGAACTCACTGTCTTGCAGGGAAGACATACATAAGCATCCACATATAATATGATATAAACTCAACAATATCAACAAAACATTGTGCTTTTTAAACCATGTATATGACCATAAGACAGATTTTCAATTTATATAAATTCAACATATTGAGAGTCACTACTTACAGGTCATTAGTTAGTTACCCCTTGTTAGTGGACTGTTTTTCATACTTGGCTTCACAACCTTGAATGATCATCATAGTTTATCCTTCTTGGAATAAGCAACTTTTGGTGTGCATTAGAATCACCTGGAAATTTTTTAGAATATATTGATTCCTAGACCCACTCGCAGAGATTCAGTTTTATTTTATCTAAAGGGTGGCCCTGGGATTTCCCTGGTGGCTCAGTGGTTAAGAATCCACCTGCCAATGCAGGGGACACGGGTTCGAGCCCTGATCCGGGAAGATCCCACATGCTGTGGAGCAGCTAAGCCCATGCACCACAACTACTGAGCCTACGCTCTAGAGCCCATGAACCACAACTACTGAAGCCCGTGTTGCTAGAGCCTATGCTGTACAACAAGAGAAGCCACCACAATGAGAAGCCCTGCAGCGAAGAGTAGCCCCCACTCTCTGCAGCTAGAGAAAGCCCACCCGTGCACAGCAATGAAGGCCCAATGCAGCCATAAAATAGATAGATAGATAGATAGATAGATCGATAGATAGTTAAAAAAAAAAAAAGGGTGGCCCTAGCATCAATATCCTTTTAGCAGTACCCATCTGATTTGAACGTGCAGTTAGCATTGAGACCCACTGCATTATTTGATATCTTTTTTTAGGTGAATAAAATAAAGTCTTGGTAAATAAATAATAGGACCAAAAACTTGCTGCCCTATCTATGCAATGTTGAAGTCTTTGAAAGTCTAATGAAACCTTTTAGTAAAAACCGACAGTGTGCATTTCATAGTATTTTGATGTTTCAGTTTGACAATGGGCTGTAAGTTGTCTAAAACTAGTATTTTGTTATTTACCCCTGACATCCAGAGATGAAGTGTATTACATGATTTTGGCAGGATAGCATGATGATTAAAAAACACACACTTTAATGAAATTACTTAATCCTTCTTTGCTTCACTTTCCTCATCTGTGAAACCAGAATAGCAATAATAATGATGTCACAGGGTTGTTGTGAAGATTAAGTGGATTAATACATATAAGGTCCTTAGAACAGTGCCTGGCTCGTTTTCATTCCTGAATATTTTGGGGCAGTGGTGGGATACTCATATAAAAAAAACTTGAATATTGATGACATTAGTGATAGTTTATCAGAAGATAATTTTAGTTTTTTGTCATTTATTTTTTCCCTTTTTTTCATTTAGTTTTATATTTTTGTATGTCTACCCACTTATGTTTAATTAAAGGAAGCTGAGGCCATGTTAGGATGAAGGGGAAGGAGGAGAAGTGCTTAAACATCCCCCCACCCCCCAACCCCGCCTCAGTGGATCTTGCCCAGGATGGCAGCGGTTTCAGGGGGGTGGGGGGGGAGCGACTGGGCGTTGCCACCTCAGGAGACATGCCAGTTCCAGTTACAACGCAGGGATCACCGCAAACACAGCCGCCACAGAAGCACTGTGGCATTACCTCTCCCATCAGCTTAGCAGTCCCCAAGGAGACTGACTCCCTACTTACACAGAAACTGTTTGAGACTCTGAAGCCCTCTAGCGTTTTTGAAGAGGAAGAGGAGCTTTCTTTTTGAAGAGGAAGAGGACTTTAATTTTGGGAAAATTAAATAACCTGGTAAAAGAGTGGATATGAGAAATCAGTGAAAGCAAGACACTTCCACGATCTGTAGTTGAAAAGGTTGGTGGAAAAATTTTTACATTTGGATCTTATAGATTAGGAGTACATACAGAAGGTGCCGATATTGATGCATTGTGTGTTGCACCAAGACATGTTGATCGAAGTGACTTTTTCACCTCATTCTGTAAGTTGAAATTACAGGAAGAAGTACAAGATATAAGAGCTGTTGAAGAGGCACTTGTACCAGTTATCAAACTGTGTTTTGATGGGATAGAGATTGATATTTTGTTTGCAAGATTATCACTGCAGACTATTCCAGAAGACTTGGACTTAAGAGATGACAGTCTGCTTAAAAATTTAGATATAAGATGCATAGGAAGTCTTAACGGTTGCAGGGTAACCGATGAAATTTTGCATCTAGTACCAAACATTGACAACTTCAGGTTAACCCTGAGAGCTATCAAACTGTGGGCCAAATGCCACAACATCTATTCCAATATATTAGGTTTCCTCGGTGGTGTTTCCTGGGCTATGCTAGTAGCAAGAACTTGCCAGCTTTATCCAAATGCAATAGCATCAACTCTTGTACATAAATTTTTCTTGATATTTTCTAAATGGGAATGGCCAAATCCAGTCCTATTGAAACAGCCTGAAGAATGCAGTCTTAATTTGCCTATATGGGACGCAAGGGTAAATCCCAGTGATAGGTACCATCTTCTGCCTATAATTACACCACCATACCCACAACAGAACTCCACGTACAATGTATGCGTTTCAACACGGATGGTCATGGTTGAGGAATTTAAACAAGGTCTTGCTATCACAGATTAAATATTGCTGAGTAAGGCAGAGCGGTCTAAACTTTTTGAAGCTCCAACTTCTTTCAAAAGAACAAGCATTATATTGTACTTTAGCAAGTGCACCAACTGAAAAACAATGCCTAAAATGGGTGGGCTTGGTGGAATCAAAAATCCAAATCCTGGGCTTCCCTGGTGGCTCAGTGGTTGAGAGTCCACCTGCCGATGCAGGGGACACGGGTTCGTGCCCCGGTCCAGGAAGATCCCACATGCCACGGAGCTGCTAGGCCCGTGAGCCATGGCCGCTGAGCCTGCGCGTCCGGATCCTGTGCTCCGCAATGGGAGAGGCCACAACAGTGAGAGGGCCGCGTACCGCAAAAAAAAAAAAAAAAAAAAATATGAATCCTGGTTGGAAGTTTGGAGAAGAATGAATTTATTACACTGGCTCATGTGAATCCCCAGTCACTTCCAGCACCCAAAGAAAATCCTGACAAGGAAGAATTTCGCACAACGTGGGTGATTGGGTTAGTGTTTTAAAAAAACAGAAAACTATGAAAATCTCAGTGTTGGTCTCACCTACGATATTCAGTCTTTATAGGCAAGCAATAAACAGCAAGATGTTTGAGGTAGACATGAAAATTGCTGCAATGCATGTAAGAAGAAAGCAACTCCATCAACTACTGCCTAATCATGTGCTTCAGAAAAAGAAAAAGTGTTCAACAAAAGGTGTCAGGTTGACACCTCTGAATGACAGCAGCCTCGACTTGTCTATGGACAGTGATAACAGCATGTCTGTGTCTTCACCTCCCAGTGCTATGAAGACCAGTCCATTGAACAGTTCTGGCAGTTCTCAGGGCAGAAACAGTCCTGCTCCAGCTGTAACAGCAGCATCTATGACCAACATACAGGCTACTGAAGTTTCTGTGCCACAGGTAAATTCCCGTGAAAGCTCAGGGGGTACATCAAGTGAAAGCATTCCTCAGGCTGCCACACAACCAGCCATTTCTTCACCACCAAAGCCTACGGTCTCCAGAGTTGTTTCTTCAACACATCTGATAAACCCACCACCAAGACCTTCAGAAAATGCAGCAACAAAGACACCTAATCCTATAGTAGGAGTCAAAAGGACATTCTCACCTCATAAAGAAGAGAGTCCCAAGAAAACCAAAACAGAAGAGGATGAGACAAGTGAAGATGCTGTCTTGCTTTGAGTGGGCATGATAAAACAGAAACAAAGGAGAAACTTGATACAGAGACGAGTACAACTCAATCAGAAACCATTCAGATTGGGCTTCCCTGGTGGCGCAGTGGTTAAGAATCTGCCTGCCAATGCAGGGGACACCGATTCGAGCCCTGGTCTGGGAAGATCCCACATGCGCAGAGCAACTAAGCCCGTGCGCCACAACTACTGAGCCTGCGCTGTAGAGCCCACGAGCCGCAACTACTAAAGCCTGTGCACCTAGAGCCCGTGCTCCGCAACAAGAGAAGCCACCGCAGTGAGAAGCCCATGCACTGCAATGAAGAGTAGCCCCCGCTCACTGCAACTAGAGAGAGCCTGTGCACAGCAACAAAGACCCAACGCAGCCAAAAATAAAAAATAAATTTATTTAAAAAAAAAAAAAAGAAACCATTCAGACAGCGGCTTCTCTGTTGGCCTCTCAGAAAACATCCAGTACAGACCTTTCTGATAGCCCTGCTCTCCCTGCAAATCCTATTCCTGTTATCAGGAATTCAATAAAACTGAGATTGAATCGGTAAAAACAACCTCAGGGGTCCATAAACAATATCTGCCAACTCAACCTGTTGTCTTCAAATGCTAAGAAAGGAGAATGGAGGGTACCAGACTAGACACGACTGAAAATGGATTTAGGTTTTTTTGTGACCTCCCTTACTGGGCTAATCAGCACTTGATGGGAAGTCCAGGCTAGTGTGTGAAGCCAGGAGCACTGTGATTATTGTGTTAGCAACAGTTGCATTAACTATTTCAAAAAATCACTGCCTTTAAAAAAAAAAACCTCAAGCTGTATTTGTATTCATAATTGACATGTGGACTGGGTTTATGTTTGCGGCATTGTTTGGAAAATTTGCAATACAAGCTGGTATAAGAATTCCTTATTCCGATGATGCACTTTTATGTATTTTTTTTTATTAGAAAGTAGAACTAATTTTAGATTTTCAGCTTGACAGATTTTCATTTCTTCCTGAAGAATTTCCTTTACCATTAGTTTCCAAATTGGATGCCATTGTGCAGTGGTGTACTGTTGTACTTCAGAGAAGGGATAAGAGTACATCTAGTTCAGTCCCTATGAGGTAGCTGTAACCTTTAAAAATGAAATGTCAGCTCTAGGGTATATATTTGACATTGAAAGAATAATTAGGAGATACTTCGTTTTGATGGGGTCATGATTAAGAAATGCTATATTGGTTTTGTTTATAGAATTGTTTAGAGTGCATCCAAATCAGCGATCAGCCAGCGAATATTTTTCTTTGAGCTTGTTAAAGCTCCACATTCTTTTGCCTTCAGTATCTTGTCTTTGAAACAAAGGTTTTGCTCCCTCCCCGTTCTTTTTCTTTTCCCCTTTTTGCTTGTATGCATAAGGTAGGACTTCTTTCATAAAAAAACGAAATGCCAGTATTTTCTTAAGCCATGATGTGAAAGCAGTGACCCTGTGGCCACATGGCACAGAACACTAACTTTTGGTCCCATGGCTGAAATTTTAGGGTGACTAAAAATAATGCCTGTGAAACATGATATCTATCTTGGATGGCCATTTGATCTCTAAATATGAGGAATTTTGTACGCTCCACAAAACTCCTGTCTATAGTAAAGTTGATTTTCAATTTTAAACATGTGGGCAAAAAGGCATTTTCTCCAAGAATTTTAAACAAATTTTGATTTTTAAATGGTTGACTAAAATTTGTCAGTAAATTTTACATGTAGAAACGTTTAAAAATCATTTCTAGCAAGCACTTGACATCTAGTCAGCTCTCTACTCCTTTTTTCATTTTGTTTTATCCTATCAATAAATAATTCCACATAAGTAAGCAGCAGTGCATTCATCTTTACAGAATATGAGGGATGCCAGATGTTGATAAGCTTAGTTATTCTTTCTTAATCGGGACAAAGCAAACCCAACAGATTTTTCTGATGAGCATGTTTTATGAATCCTCTATTGTGTTCCATTCTATCACACGTACATTTTTCATGTTAAACTGTAATTACTTAAACTCTTCCCCTATCCTTCTAAATTAACTTTCCAAAGTTGGAGTGTAGTCTTTTCCCCCTTAGACTATGCATTAATTGAGGCTTTCTTTTCACCATACTTTATAATGTCTAGTATACAGTACTTCTACGTCCCACATCTTTGCTCTGCACAGTCACCTTGCCCTTCCTCCTACCATCTAAGAAGAAAAGATGGTCAGACTAACAGGTGAAGTCTACAAGGTGTCTGTGTGTTCTGTGTAGCTTCAGAGTTAGATTGAAATTGCCAGGTACAGATTTAGTCTTGTCATTTTGTTCACACATTGGGGAAGAAGAATTCAGTTTATTAAACATTTCATGTAACCGCACCCAAGTTTTGCCAAGCTGGGAACTTGGACGTTTTCTGTGTAGTGACTTTTTAATTCTAGTTTTCATAACCTGGAGATCAGACTGTTGGTTTCGCATGATGTACGTAGTGTCTCATGACTAGGGTTTGCTTTGTTTTATAGTATCTGTACTCCTTGTATTTTTCAAGAGCTGTTTTGTGAGCAGATGAGGTATTTCTCCATTGAAACCACAATAAAGAAAAACAGCAAAAAATAAATAAATAAAGGAAGCTGATTATGATAGACATATATATGAGGAGTAAAGAGAGAAAGTAAAATGAACATTTTCTTTTCTATAGAATCGACGGACTGTGGCTTCTATTAAGAATGATCCTCCTCCAAGAGATAATAGAGGTAAAAATTTACCTATTAATTTTGCCTGTTGCCCTGACAAGGTAAATCAAAAGTAAATATTACCCTTGACGTTATTATTCATTTAAACTTTACATGGCTAATTTTAAGATTGATATCGTATTGATTTCCCAACACAATAATGTCAGTGATATAAAAAAATGATTTATAAAGGTATGTGATGAATGTGAAACTCCATGATATATGCCATTTTGAGGCATCTTACTTACCCAATAATTTTTCAGATTTGAGGAGAGTATTATGAGAAAGAAAGGAATGGGGTAGTAGTTAATTGATTTCACAAGGGTAAGTTTAGTCATTGTGATATTTTTACATTATTTTCTGGCTAACAAACTTTCAAAAAATGTCATGGGTAACTTTGAAGACAAGTCGAACAGGTATCAATTGCAGTTAATTTCAGGTCTCTCATATGTTTTCAACTAGGTGATATAAAGCACAGTTCATTTCTTTTCTACTATTCAGCAGTTCAGAATGGTCCTTTCTCATAGTGATGTTTCCTCTGTATGTATGGATGCTGAGGCAGGACAGGTGTAGGTATTAGAGGAAAGGTTGGAGGTAGAGGGAAAGTCCTGCACTTTCAGCACTATTCTTTGAGTCTTGTGAAAATTTATATTCCTTTGTAAAATGTGATATTTATATTTAACTTAATATTGCTTTTTCCACTTTTGTAACATCCACAGTGGGAAATTCTCTGTTGAGGATTTGCGTATTTGACAAGCAAAGAGTGGGATTTAGAACAAAAGGAGGGTTGCAGGATTTTTATGTTTTTACTTGCTGTATTTCTGAATTGTGTAAGTTTTTCAAAATGAGAATGCGTATAAAATCTGTATTTTGCACACTTACTTTTTAAAAATTATTATTTAAAATCAAGCTTGGCTTGGTTTTTTATAAATTATTCAGATTGAGTTTTATTTATTGAACAGAATTGATTATTACATATATTTTGAAATTTTGTTTCACTTTCAGTGGTTGGTTCTGCACGCGCGCGGCCTAGTCAGCTTCCTGAACAGTCTTCCTCTGCACAACAGAATGGTAGTGTTTCAGATATATCTCCAGTTCAAGCTGCAAAAAAGGAATTTGGACCCCCTTGTATGTAAATCATGTATCAAGGATTCAGTCATTTTAGGCATACATGTATTTTCTCTTGGTCAACTTTATAAGTCCCCAAATTACAAACTTAATTGCATATTTTATTTTTACCATTGTGGAAAATTTTTTTTGTTGTTAGTTTAGTCTGTTAATTGGGTTTTTAAATGTATATTTTGGAGGAAATAATTTATAAATATAAAACTATAACAATGTTTCAGTTGCTTTGAATTTAAAATTATGGCCAGATAATTTTGACAGATGTTATAAAAGAAATTCTTATGCTTCTTGATCCTTTCCAATTCAAAGATCTTTGATTCTAAACCAAGAGATGACATGTATCAATATGTTAGAGACATTTTTCATGACTCTTATTTGTATATTGTCCTGTTCCTAGCTTTGTTAAAGCAGCTCATAAGTAAAGTTCACATATTTGTCATAGGCATGTTTTGTCACTGTGTACCTTTTTTTGGTGTGTGTGGTAAAATTTCATACATAAAATTTTTGTGTATAAGTATGGTACTCTAAAAAGAAAACTAGGCTTCTACAGCTCATCTGTTTCTTCCAGCACGTAGAAAATCTAATTGTGTGAAAGAAGTAGAGAAATTGCAAGAAAAACGGGAAAAAAGGAGACTACAACAGCAAGAACTTAGAGAAAAAAGAGCCCAGGTTTGTAACAGAAACATATTTTGTTTATGCACCAACCAAAGATTAGACTGTGTCAGTGAAAGTGATCGGCTTATGAAAAAATAATTGAGGCATTCATTTAAAGATTTCAATATAGTTCCTTAAATTGATATTGAGGAATAATATAAACTCTTGGGGAAATAAGTTATCGTAACAGATTTTTTACTAAATAAACTTTTCAAGTTTTAGTGGGTATGTGTTAGTCCTAAAGCTTGTTCCATTTTGAATAGTAAGCCATTGTGTTAGAGAATTCTAATAGATGTATAACATTGAGAATAATAGGATTTTGGCTTTTTAAAAGGACTAAAAATACATTCAGAAAAACATCAAGTTAAGGTATATGGTTATACTATCCATTTTATTGTTTTTCCATGGTTAATAAGTTCAGCATATCACAATGAAAGGGTGGAAATTCGTTGTGTGTTGATTTATACTAGATGTTGAGAGTATCTCTGATGTGCCCCTCTTCTCACATTTCCTTTAGATAGTAGCAAAACTTTACTAGCAACAGAAAAGTTGCTTAGAAGACTGGTCTTTTATCTCTCTACAGGTCTTCACATATTAGAAATTATGCTATTGTACAAATAATTCCTCCATTGTGCTTGCATTGTATCTATTATATTCTCAGAACTTGTTTCCTGTAATAAAATACCAGGATTGTTTCCTTATTTAGGAGTATGTTCAAATGCCCTTAATCATAAAGATGTTGTGTTGTGGAATTGTGGAATCAGTATAATATTCAACCTGAATAAATCAACTTATACCTGAAAGTGACCTGAGAATGACCAGTTGGGTTTTGAAATGAATAATACTTGTATCTACTGATACTTAGTACAGATGCCACCTGGTGTTTCCTGTGGGTACTTCATAATATTTTTACATCTCTTTGTGACCTCTTCTTTACATTCTGCTTCTCAGTTGACATAGTTGGTGTTATTTCCCAAAAGGTTAATTGACAGTATGTTACATTAACAGTTTTGAAATTTAGTTGTACTCAAAGCAAGTCTGCATATAGTATATGGGAAAAAGAACCTGACCTAAAATGTTTAACAATTTATACTCATAGCTAGGAGAGGCTGTTAACTGTTGCTATTTGTATCTTAATCTGAATTTTCTCAGTTGTGAAGCAAAATAGTAAATTGCAGTTAGCATGCAGTAGTTTGAATTTTAAAGATTTAAAAAATTATCTTGGCTTTTGATCCCTTTAAATTCTATGTCCTGTTGATTTGGGGCTGTATTATACCATGCCTTAGTTTTTTTTTAGAGAGTCATTAATAATAGGAAATGAACATAAATGAATCCATAGTTCTACTTTGCTGAAACACTGAATTAGGAATTGGGAAGAAGAATCTGATTAAATGCATTTTTCTAAGAATTTCGGCTTTTCTAGAGTTCTTTATTGATGTTTAGGATGAACACTGTTTTTGTTTTGCTCAGTTTTCTAGGAGAATTAAGGTATACGTATAACATATTTGAAATAGGTCAAAGGTGGTTTTAATAAGGAGTATTTTGTTTGTTGTTAACAGAAGGCATGTAGACTAACAGAATTGTGTTTTTTAATATGAAAGTGATTCCTAGGCATACTATTAATCTTGAACTCTGAAGCTATATCACATCTCAGGTTTGAGTTTGGGCTTGGCTGTTATAAATGACACAACCTATTTAATTTTCAAACCATATATAACATAAACGCAACAAATACTACATTATTGTAATTATAATAAATGATGAATTCTCTGTATTCTTACAGGATGTTGATGCTACAAACCCAAATTATGAAATTATGTGTATGATCAGAGACTTTAGAGGAAGTTTGGATTATAGACCATTAACAACAGCAGATCCTGTAAGATTCTTTATTAACAGTTGCTCTGGAACTTTTTATGCTGTAAATAAAAACATGTTTGATACCCCCTAAGTTAATACTGTATTTAGTTCTGTAATTTTTTCTCTCTTTATGGGTGCTCCTTCTCCTTCTCTATTTTAAGAAGATCAAGAAACCGTTGGGAATTCCCTGGCGGTCCAGTGGTTAGGACTCTGAGCTCTTACTGCCAAAGGCCCGGGTTCAGTCGCTGGTCTGGGAACTAAGATCTCACAAGCCACGTGATGCATCCAAAAAAAAAAGAAAGAAAGAAAGAAACCACTCACACTTACCCTTATTTTCTCATTATTTCCCATAATTTGATACGTTAGACATGCATCTCACAAAGATAATCCACTTCAAAGCAAGCCTCTGTGTCCTTGGTAGGACAGAGCAACAGTCAAGGATGATGTCAGAAGACCCACTTTCCTTTCTGACCATCACTTATACTTTTATCTCAATTCCAAGTTTGTTTCCTCTTGGGTTGGGCTGTAGATCCCACCATCATTCCAACTTACTACTAATTTATTTTAAAATAAATGTTACTCTGGCTTTTAACAATAAGTGATGGCTGTTGAGGACTGCTGTAAACCAGAAATCTAGTGCTTGAAGAATGTTCTGTCTTATGCACCTCCTTTCCTATTGAAGAATGGGAATTTATTGAACAGGGAATACTTTTGTGAGTAATTTGTATTTATGAAAAAAAATCCATCTGACCTAGTGTATACAGAATGAATTGGGTACACAAAATACATATAATACACCTGTGTTAAGGCAGGTGTATTATATATGATTTAATAGAGTAGTTCACAACATTTGCATCTCATATATTTTACTCCTTGCTACCCTTTCATTTGTTTAACCTACATCTGAGCTCATACTTTATGATAGTGACTGGAAAACTTTTTCTGAAAAGGGCCTGATATTTTTGGGTTTGAACCATATGGTCTTTGTTACAACTACTCAATTCTGCCTTTGTAGTATGAAAAGCAGCCATAGATAATACATAAATGAATAGGTATGGCTGTTTCAGTAAAACTTTACAAAAGTGGGTAGTGGCTTGGATTAGGCTTTCAGGCCGTACTTTGCCAATTCCTGCTTTATACTAAATATCATTAGAAGGCAAGTATTGGGAACATTAATTTTATGAAAAAATTTAATGTCTAAGAATTGGCATATTATAAAATTGTTCAAATTATTTTGGCCAATAATCTTCTGAGAACTGTTTCTTGTCTACAGCTAGTTATCTTTGCCTATAATTTTCCCTATAATCAATCTGAAAATATGCCACTCGGTAGGAAATTTTACTTTTGTCGTATACAGCACATCTTGAAGTGAATAAGGTAGTTTCTTAACGTGAACCTATTGCTACTAAGAGTGGTGGTGTCCTCTACAAAGTTATTTCCTAGTGGTTTACCAAATGACAAGCGAGTTTCCATTATACTTAGAATTTTTGAAATAATTGTGTCTGATGGCTATTAAAATTTCTTCAAGCTAATTTGTTTTTTAAGCTTACTTATCCTATTTATGCTATGCATAAATTTCTAAAACCTCGGGAGGAAATATTACTTTTTAATTAACTTTTCAGTGTTTTATATACCACTGATAATCACTGGAAAAAAATATTTTATTTCTAGATTGATGAACATAGGATATGTGTTTGTGTAAGAAAACGACCACTCAATAAAAAAGGTATGCTTATTGAGTTCTAATCAAGGGTTCATTTTTGTACTGTTTGCAATTTATTTTGATAATAGCAGAAATCAGATTGGTTTGGAAGAGTTAAATGTAAATCATTTCATTTGTACATAACCATTATACAGATTTCTATGGTTAGGTCTGTTGATGTGATACTGTTCTAAGAATCTTTGCCATTCCTGGCTTTACAGAAATCTTGATTTTTTTTTTTTTTTACTTTGTTGTTGAAATATTCTGTTTACTTGAATGGCATATTTATGGGATATTTATATTTACAGGACTTACTACTTTTATCAAAATTCTTACTACTTAAAATAATTTTTGTGCATTAATTCAAATACTGTGAAAATTACTGGGCACTGATTTTCATTTATTCTTTTAGAAACTCAAATGAAAGATCTTGATGTAATCACAATCCCTAGTAAAGATGTTGTGATGGTACATGAACCAAAACAAAAAGTAGATTTAACAAGGTACCTAGAAAACCAAACATTTCGTTTTGATTATGCCTTTGATGACTCCGCTCCTAATGAAATGGTTTACAGGTAGGTAAATTTGTTTTAAATCAGAATTTTGTTCTTATACTGTGTGTTTACCACCACCACTGAAACTTATGTTGATCTTGGCATATCTCTCCAGAGGTGTAATATCCTTTTCTTTCCCCCTGAGTTTAAACAAATAAGAATATTTAATAAACATGATAATGAATTTTAACACTTGTTTTCTTTAATGCTCCCCAAATCAGTTTTCATTAATGATTAACTTTATACACTATATAACATACCATATGTATGGATAAGAAATTTCTAGAAAACATTTTCTGTACCTCTAGAGATGGGATGTGGCTATTTTTTACTTTTTGATCTCTGCAGTAGTGAAGAAATTTGAAATAACTGTTATACATCCGTCACTTATTTGTCTGAATCTTTATTTAGCACATATGGCCACTTAAGGAAAAAAAGTTCTGTAAATCTACTTGCATTTCCCTAGTTTTATCATTTCTAAGCTTTGGAATAGTTTTAGTACATGAAATTCTTGCATGTTCACATGTTCAACTTACAAACAACTCAAACTTACATGTCTTGTGCATTGATATCCCACATTTTTATCCAAATTTAGATTTTTATACATAGTTTGTAAACATTTACTTCTTATTATTTAATAGGTCAGTTTTAGCAGCATTGTTATTTCAGTCTATATTAAATTGTCTTGAGTTACTTGAATGCTATGTTTCATTGCCCTTTTATTTTATAAATTTGACTGGAAAACAGAAAGTTAAAGGGTTAATAAGAATCCTAAGAATTGAAGATGTTATAAATGAGATAAAACCAACTCCACTGGTCTTAAGCCAGTAAACTGGGAGTTCAGCTGTAGAGAAAGAGGACAAAACTAAAGAACATGTGAATGCTAGATAGAGGTATTGTGAAAAATTTGTTTTGAAAGGGAATTATAAATTGTATATTTTTTACTTTTTTGAGAACTGAGTCCTGTCCTCCCCCCTCACTCCCTTCTCTGCTTCCATTCCTGTCTCATAAAATATGTCTGTCTGACTTTTGTAATCATTTTCAAGAAATCACTATAAATAAAAGTATGTTTCTGTGTATGTGCTAGATTTAGTAAACGTATTTCACCCTGTATTTATGCTTCTTAATTTTGCCAATATTGATTCTCTCCCCTTTCTCTTATCCTTAACTTTTATGGATTGAGAAGTTAGCTTTTTTTTTTGGTCTGATCACTCTTCAGTTCTTTTTGATTAGAACATTTTTCTGCCCCTTTTGTTCTGTACTTTCTCCAGTTGTGCCTTTAAAAAAGAAAATCAATAGAGCTGTATAAAGTGTTCTACATATATTCTTTTGAAGACTGTGTAAAAAGTAGATTTGTTTTCTATCATGCTTTTAGGGCTCTGCTCAATGAAGTATTTTTTTGTCCCTCCCTACCTTTTTATTTTAACTCCAGCAGTGATTATACCAGTACATAATATTTGGGCATCCTTTTCCTGAATCAAGACTATCAATTCAGAATTCATTGTCTTATAAGCATAATTTATATTTACTTACATTCAAGGAAATTTTACCACTTTTATACTTGTTTAGATAATGTTTTTGTACTTTTTTCCCCTCTAGCTTTTCTGTATTGAGATTACCACTCTTGATTCTGTTTCTGTTGAAACCATTGATACTTTTTTTGGGTTGGGTTGGGGTTTTTAGTTTTGGTTTTGGTTTTCATATCTGTCCTACTTGTCTGGCTGATATTACCATATTTTGTTGTTATTTTTTAAAACTTTCCTACTGTCTTCTATATATTATGTCTTTAGCTCAGTTACTATCAGGTTTTTTTCCCTGTCCATTATTATTGTGGCCCTTGTTTATTTCGGAATTATTGCTCGAAAATATGCTTTAAAGAGCTTTAAGCAATTCTAGGACATGGGTATTTAAAATTTTAAATCAGTGGTCAATTGTGGCCTCGCAGTTGATCCCACTGGTTTGTTAAAAATCTTGGTTTAAGATTTGCTTATAATAACACTTGATATTAGTTTTATTGTTTATTTGTTTAATTTAAATATTAACTGTATGTTCTGACTGGTACATTTTATTTTTAAGGTTTACAGCTAGACCACTAGTGGAAACTATATTTGAAAGGGGAATGGCTACATGCTTTGCTTATGGGCAGACTGGAAGTGGAAAGACTCATGTAAGTAATTCATTACAGTTACATCCTGGTATGAAGCCAGTTTACTTTCCTTATAGCTTAATTCTAAGACCTAAATTCTATTTTCTTTTTAACATATAGACAATGGGAGGTGACTTTTCAGGAAAGAACCAAGACTGTTCTAAAGGAATTTATGCATTAGCAGGTAACTCCCCTTTTTGCATATTATTTATAATATTTCTCTTGAATATTATTCAGGTGACTTGGAAATAAGATTTGGAAGTACTGTCCAGAATTTTAAGGGTAACTAATGCTATACTTACTATATATTATGTCAGTTTTAGATTAGCGGACTGTTTTGAAAAGAACTGTGCTTTGGGGGCAAAAATCTTGATTATGTTTGTGTTGTAATCTGGCACATTGTTGGAGCTTAGCGTTTGTTGTTGAATAACTGCTTTGTGAAAAGTTTCCATTTGGTATGATTATGAAAGTAACCTTATTATGACTGCCTATAATTTTATGCTATTTATAAAGATAAGTAGTAGCATTCTCTTCTTGAATATGAAGGAGAGTGGCCTCTAAACTTTAAATGTAGAAAAACTATTGCTACTATTTTTTTTTGAAAATTAATATCCACTTTAATCTTCATTTTTCTTATTGATACTGTCATTCTAGGTAAACATTAGTTGATTTGAATTGCTTTTTTAAAACAGAAAATTTGAATTGCTTTTTAAAAACAATATTTATTGCATCTTAATAAATTTTCTCCATATGCAATTATTGACAGCTCGAGACGTTTTTTTAATGCTAAAGAAGCCAAACTATAAGAAGTTAGAACTTCAAGTGTATGCAACCTTTTTTGAAATTTATAGTGGTAAGGTAAGTGGAAACTTAAAAAAATAATTTTTTGTTTTTTAGTTTTTTAAATTATGGTTAAAAAATGCATAACATAAAATTTACCATTCTAACCATTTTTAAGCGTAGAAGTTCAGCAATATTCACATTGTTGGGCAGTCATTGCCACCACATAATTGTTATATGTATTTGGAATATTATGTTAAAGTTCTGTGATGAGATTTTTTAAAATTCCCTTTGAAACTCTAACTTCAGTATCTATCATTATTATTCTAATAACATTATTACTAGAATTCTCTGAAATAATTTTCGGACTCTGAATGATTCATTTTTATAGAACTATTCTTTTTTTATTTTTAAAGCTAGCTTTCTTTCTTTTTTTTTAGGTTTTTGACTTGCTAAACAGGAAAACAAAATTAAGAGTGCTCGAAGATGGAAAACAGCAGGTTCAAGTGGTGGGATTACAGGAACGGGAGGTCAAATGTGTTGAAGATGTACTGAAACTCATTGACATAGGCAACAGTTGCAGGTAGCTCTCATTTTAATTAAGAAAGCAAAACAGTTTCATGATCAGTTTTAGATACTTTCAAAAGCAAAGCAAGGATGTTATTCAGCGCATTTTGGACGTAAAATCATTACTCATAAAAACTTCTGAAGTATGCCAGATTAAATTGTATTAATCTGGTTATGTTTGTGTTGTTAATTCAAAATGTCTCTTTTGTATTTAAATAATTAAAACTGAATAGTTTTTTCTTTTTTTAATGAAAATATTGTGGTTTGCACATATAAATTGAACTTTTTACATATCAGAATGTTCTTAATTACATTGTAGAACATCCGGTCAAACATCTGCAAATGCACATTCATCTCGGAGCCATGCAGTGTTTCAGATTATTCTTAGAAGGAAAGGAAAACTACATGGCAAATTTTCTCTCATCGATTTGGCTGGAAATGAAAGAGGAGCTGATACTTCCAGTGCAGACAGGCAAACTAGGCTTGAAGGTGCTGAAATTAATAAAAGCCTTTTAGCACTCAAGGTAAATAAAGTGCATTTAATTGTGAAAAGTCTTTTACTTTTGACTTCATTTTTGTTTACTCAGTTACAAAATTATACTATTTGTTTTTCCTAATAAGTAAGAGAGGTATCAAAATTTAGTTGTTTATGTTTGCAGTTATAGATTTATATTGTACCCAGAAATTTTCTTTACACATATTATTTATTCTTTTTAAGGTAGATAAAGATCTGTTAGTCAGCAGGCCAATTCCAATGCTGCTTAGGGAGATTCCAGAGGGCCTTAATCATTAATCAGTCTTTTTTCTTGAAGGAGGGCAAGGAACCATAAAACTGAGCTAAGAAAGTTTCTCAGAAAAATGTGGAATGGCTTTCAAAAAGTTAGGCCACTATTATATATCTTCCTTGACTAGCAAAGCAAAGAAAGCATTCTGTTTTTTTCTTTTGTAGTACCACTTTAAAAGTTTAACTTTTTACAGTTATCCTACTGCCTGTTATTTCTAAACACTAATCATAGTCTCCAGAAGAATCTTTTGGAATTAATAAAGTAGTCTTTTGGATTGGGTTTTTTTGTTTTCCAAATTTCATTTTCTTGAATTAGGATTTATGGGAACATTTCTACTATGCTGTAAATCTCTTAATAGAATTTTCAGAGCTGATCAGATCTTAAATGTTAGGGTTATGGTAAGAGGTGTTTTAAATATGTTCATTAAGATTACTGTTTATAAGAAGTAAAATCTATGAAATTTGCTTTCTTAATTTTCAGGAGTGCATCAGAGCCTTAGGTAGAAATAAACCTCATACTCCTTTCCGAGCAAGTAAACTCACTCAGGTGTTAAGAGATTCATTCATAGGTGAAAACTCTCGTACCTGCATGGTAAGTTTGTTTTGTTTTAATCTTAAATGAATAATTATGTAGTATATATGGGAAAATTATAAAATACATTAATGACAGTCATTTAAAGTCTATTGTGAGAGATACAGTGATACTTGGAAATGTGGTCCCTGCCCATCTGATAGGATTATATTGTAGTTATAATGCATTCTACTAATTCCAACATCTGAGTCTTTGTGAGATTGGTTTTCATTGATTTCTGTTTTCCTTGCATATTGGTCACACTTTTCTATTTCTTCATATATCTAGAATTTTGGATTATATAATTTTCATTATGAATGAATATTTTATGGACACTCTGGATTCTGTTATGTTCTTCTAAAGATTATTGATTTTGTTATTGTTGTTGTTGTTATTTTAGCTGGAAGTTAACTTAGCTGAACTCCAAACTCTTGTCTCCCCAGCTGTGGGCATCAACTGACCTTGAAATCTCTGTTTAGCTCTTTTAGACTTAGCTATGTTTCTTGCAGTCAACCTTGTGTTCAGGGGTCAGCCAGAGATTTGGGTAGTATAAATATATATGTAGAATATGAGTTTCTTCCTCTGTGGTTATTTCTCTTCTGGGACAAACTTCACTTCCCAGCTGCTATGGTGCCTACCTCCAAACTCCATCCTTTAGTTTAACCAGTGAAACTCCAGATTTCTATTGAAGTTTTAGTTGTCCTGTGTAACAGCAGCAGAGTTTGCCCTTAGGCAAAAAAAGTTATCAAAAGTAGGGGCGGACAGTCACTCAATGTTACTCCCTTCTTCTAGGTGTTGACCTCCATTTTCTGCCTGATATTTGATCATTTTGTGGTGCCATCAGAGTTGTTTATATTTTAACTGGAGTTTATAATTATTCTTTGATTATGGGTATGAGATAGTGAATTATCTTGGAGCTAAGGTATCATTAATAACTCTTTTTTTAGATGACCATATTAAAATTAGACCTGACTGAGCCATATGTCAGTATTACTTGTCATCATTTATAACATTTTCTTTACCTTTGCATTTTTCCCCCATAGATTGCCACAATCTCTCCAGGCATGGCATCCTGTGAAAATACTCTCAATACATTAAGATATGCAAATAGGTATGAGAAATGGTTATTTATTTTGAAATTTGAAGGGAATAGAACAATATATGGTTTGATTTAATATCTGATAGGGTAAATCTTAGTGCATTGCTCTTTACATTTTCAAAAAAAATTTGCATGTTATTCATTGAAATGATGTCTAGAATCATTTTGTCATATTCTAAAAATAATTGGAAATGTGTTGTGTAATTTGGGAAGACATATTTTTAGTAGAATAGGTCTTAAAATTATAGAACATGATTGTATTTTTCCATTAACCAAGTTATATTTCATAATATTTTACTATATTTAAATCATGAAAATTCTTATTATTATATTAAGACTCAAAAGTAAGTGAGTATCAGGAGCCAGTCCGTATTTCTTAAATTGTTTTGCATATGCTGAAAATTATTTCTGATAATCTTAAATATTATACATGGGGAAGCTAGGGTTTAAGTAGGGATAGCACAGTTCTTTCTGGTGTTCTGTATGGGTTACATTTTATTATTTATGGCAATAGTGTTACAGACGTTAATAGACAATTGCATTATTACAAATGAGAGGATAAAAAGCGTTACACATTATTAAAGCAGTTTATTCCTTATAGTCACAAAATGCCCTTGGAATTTTGGATTGTAATAGGCATGTTTATATTTGTTCCAGAGATTTGTTCCCATTGCTCTTGTTTTGAATGACTATATATATAGTTTTAAATTTGTATTATCACATATTGCATTTGTGATTTTAACCTAGAGATAAAATTCCTCTTTGTATTCCATTTCTAGTGTGGAGAATCTCTTAATTTTGCTAAACATGAGTATTTGTACTATTTTTTTGTTTTAATCACTATGGAAATTTTATTTTTAATCTTTCATTAAAGTATGAAATACATATGCATACAGAAAAGTACCCAAAACACAAGTGAATAATTTAATGAATATTTACAAAGTGAAAATTCCTGTCATCAGACCAACAAATAAAACATTTCCAGTCCCCCAGAAAATTCCCCATGTGTCCCTTTCTAATCACGAATCCTGAATAACATGCCTAAATCCATTAATTTCTACCCCAAGGTAGCCATTGTCCTGACTTTTGTGGAATAAATTTCTCAATTTTCTTTCTCTCTTTTTAAAAATAGTTTTACTACCTATGAATGTATCCCTGAACAATATAGGTAGCTGTATTTGAACTTCACATAAATGAGATCATACGCTTTGTTCTTTGGTATTTTGCTTTTGCTTCAACTAAAGAGATTTTTAAAAATCATCAGTAAAAACTGTTGGAAAGTATAAACTTATTGACCTTTTGTAAAGATATTAAAAATAATAACTTTTAAAAATAATTGAACTTTATTTTTAAATTTAATACCCTTTAAACTTTGAATTATAAGATTCTAGCTATGAACCTTTATAGTATTTTTTTTTTTTTTTTTTTTTTTTTTGGTGCGGTACGCGGGCCTCTCACTGTTGTGGCCTCTCCCGTTGCGGAGCAAAGGCTCTGGACGCGCAGTCTCAGTGGCATGGCTCATGGGCCCAGCCGCTCCGCAGCATGTGGGATCTTCCCAGACCAGGGCATGAACCCGCGTCCCCTGCATCAGCAGGCGGACTCCCAACCACTGTGCCACCAGGGAAGCCCCTATAGTACTTTTAATCATTCTTTGTAGTGAACATTTTTGGTATTGTGGGGTTTTTTTCATTAATTTAAAATGCTTCTTGTTTCAGAATTGTTCACGGGAGAGATGAGGAACAGCTTAGTGTAGTAAAATGATTGCCGTGTTGTAGAATTAAAACCCTCCATGTCTTCAGACTTCTGGCTGCAAAGGAATCCCCCTAATGTGAAAATGCTTTATCTGGTTATTCCTCTAGTTCATTTAGGTCCAAGTAAAATATTTTAATTTATTATCACGTAATGTGATTCATTTGCAACCATTACTAACCATCTAGGACAAATAATTCTGTCTTTTATTTCCATATCTCTAGGAATAAAGATTTTCAACCTCATTTGATAGCTCATTTGAGGAATATAATTCCTGCGTATAGAATAGTTTAGGTTGGGCAAGAGAGCTTTGAATAGAGGAAAAATGTGTGATTAGGGGCTAATAGGTATCTAAATTAGGAGATTCTGAAAGAATAAGTAATGGGGTTGGGAGTAAAAAGAGTTATTAAGTCAGTATTAGAAATTTAGGTTTGTCAGCACGTGTGTAAATAAGCTTTCCAAAAGGATAAAGGCAAAGGAATCTGGTATTCAACCTTTCAGAGTAGATATTACCAATAGGTCAAAGAAAGATTCTAAATAAAAGAAATTATTAGTTTGATCTATGTGACTATCTTTGATGTATAACAATAGTAATTTCATTTAGTTCAACCTAAGAGAAGTAATGAGAAAAACAGAGAATATGGTTAGTATATTGAAGTGTTTAAACATAAGGTTCGTACTCACAGCTAGGTTTGAACCTCAGTTATGCCACATTCTCATTGAATGAACTTGGGTAAGATACTTTATTGCTCTGAACCTATTTCTCATCTGTAAAGTGGTGATAATAATATCACAATATTGTCGTAATGATTAAATAATATAATGTCTAAAAAATATTAATCATAATATCTGATACATAGGAAGTAATTAATAAATATTGCCTACTGTTATGAAATGGGATTGGCCTAAAGAGGACATAGGGAGTCACAAAAATTGGATCATAAAAGCCATGATTTAGTTAAGTATAACTGTTAGAGACATTAGCAAAAGCAATTTAAATTCCATTGCTAAAGGATTTTTTTCACCATTGTTCGTCACCTGAATCTCCAAACACAGGAAATTATCTGAGTGACTGTTTTCTCAGTTTGTTCGAGGATTGCTTTATAGCTAATACCATTCTAGGTGCATAGGAAAGAAGTTAATTAATTATAAATGGTGTATGCCATTAGGACTTAATTCTCTTGTGTCCTGTTTGAAAAGACTGCAAGAGTGTTGAGGACTCATTAATGCTAATAAAATATTCATGGTATTGACTACACAAGGAAATTAGACATGAGTGGTCATGTAGCTAAATACAGGGCATTTCAAATTTAGGTGATGGACTCGTTAAACTTCTAGAAAGATCATGAGAAAAGGAAGGACTATGTAGTAGGGAGTCAATAGAACAGAGGGGTTCAAAAGCCTCTTCACATTGATTATTTTTAAGATAGTGTAAATATATTGTCATAACAACGTTGATCCTTTTCTAAACAAATTAAACTGAGTACTAAATGCAAATTTGAAATGTGCATTGCTGTCTTTACAAGAGCATTTTCTTTTAATTTGTTGCTGTTTTGGTGCTGCAGAGTAAAGGAGTTTGGAATTAGTCCATCAGACATTCCCTTCTCACAGGGTAGTGGCAGTCGCCCTGATCTCTCTCCTTCTTATGAGTATGACGACTTTTCTCCTTCAATTACCAGGTCTACTTCATTCTATACATAAGATGTTTATTTTAATAGTTTCTTTTGGATTGTGCTATGTATACATGTTTTATAGCATTTACTTTCATAGCATATACTTTTGTCCTGAGCCATTTTATTTTTCATTTTCATTTTGTTTGGCAGGTGGTGGTTATACTGCATGATCTTCATTTTTATTTACTTTATTAATTTGCTTTAAAATGTTGATGATTTAGAATTCAGGCTTCCTTTTCCCCTCTCATCTTTTTAAGGATGATGTCATCTTTGCATATTTACCATTGAAGGATAAACTGTCTTATTTAAAATGAATAGTTTACATTCTTTCTGTCTGCAAGGAAATCACAAGGCTCCTCTTGACTTAAAAAGTGTACCCTCTCCCAGATATGTAAATTGAAGTTTAAGGGGTAAACTTTTTTTAATGATAGAACTTTACAGCTTATAAGCTTTATAGATTAGAAATATTTCACATGTAGCTATTTTAATTGAGCCTTCTAACTACCAAATCTGCAAAGTGTATTAAATTCTTTGATTTTGGGGGACTTCCCTGGCGGTCCAGTGGTTAAGACTCCACGCTTCCACTGCAGGGTGCGCAGGTTCAATCCCTGGTCAGGGAACTGAGATCCCGTGTGACACACGGTGCAGCCAAAAAACAAAAAAAACCCTGATTTTTGACTGTGATTTATTTATTGATCTAAGTGCCACTGTTAGCATTTTTCTATTCAGCAATTTAGTTGCAACAAGTGCCTCTTATTTATTTTGAAATACTGAATCTGCATACTTCGTTGATTCTCAATTTGTAATGCACAGTAATTATGTTTGAAGTAATTGTAAAGTTATATACCTAAGTAAATTCCTAAAGCTTCACAGCTAAACATACCTTTAGTATTTCAACAGATTTCAGTTAGATTTGATCTGGAAAGCTGACATCATCAATATTAATATGTTTATTGAATTGCTTTTATATTAAATAGGTTGATATTTCTTGTTCCTCTGCATGAATCTTTGTTAATTATAGATACCTCTTATGTGTTTATAGGGTGAAAGAATTGACTGTGGATCCAACTGCCGCTGGTGATGTCCGTCCAATAATGCACCATCCACCAAATCAGATTGATGATTTAGAGGCACAGTGGGGTGTGGGGAGTTCCCCTCAGAGGGATGATCTAAAACTTCTTTGTGAACAAAATGTAAGTGACATAATATAGTTGTAATTATCTAAGTCATTTCATCCATAGCAGAATAAGTGAAAACTATCATCTAAATCAGGGATCAGCAAACTACAACCTATGGGCCTGCCATCTGTTTTTACAAATAAAGTTTTGTTGAAACATGGCCCTGCTCATTAAGACCAGAGGTGACAAAGATTGTATGGCTCACAACCCCAAAATATGTACTAAAGTTCACTGACCCCTGATCTAACTATTCTTTTTTCCAGATTTTATACTGATGTTAAAATTTGGGGATTTTTAAAGTAATACAGGGAAAAAACAAGTTTAAGAATTGTACATACAATATATCACATGTATAAAGCTTAGAAACAAGATTATGGACACATGCACATGCATTAAAAGGATTCATGAACTGTATCAAAAATGGAAAAAATCTGACATTTGTTAAATCTGGTTGCTTTCTGTATTTTTGAATGTTTGGTGACATTTCATAAATTTAAAATTTTGATTCCCCTGTTACTTAAAAATAATAATATGTGCCCACTGCATAAGGACAATGAGGTATAAAGAAAGAACAAAAAAGCACAAACACATTTTCACATAGTTATTTAACTTCATTTTTTAAATGTATAATCTATATAGTTTTGTATCATTCTTTTCCCACTAAGAATCCTATAGTGGCATTTTCTTATAATGATAAAGGTAGCATTTATTAGTTGCTTACTTCATGACATATATTTGCTAGGCATCTTATGATCTGGTATAGTCCTCACAATTCAGTGTGGTAGGTACTATAATTATCCCCGTTTTTAACTTGACTAAGATCATACAAGTAGTAAGTACTGAAGCCCAGCAGGATTGAAATCTGCGTCTTACTTATACCAGAGTGAAATCTTAGGTCAGCTAAATTGATTGCTTGCTGCAATAAGATATTCTTTGGAAACAGTATAACTTAAGTTAATGTTTTTATACTTTCCAGCAGGTATTTTAAAGTCCAAAATATTCTAGAGTAAACAAACGGATATCCTACTTTTTGTTATCATGTTTCAAAATACTCTACAAAGTAGGACTCAATGCAGCAGTTCTCAACCAAGAGTGACTTGGCCCCTCTCCAGAGAAAAATGTATGGAGACATTTTTGGTCGTCACAGGTGGGATGGTGTTGCTAACATCCAGTGGGTTGAGGCCAGGGATGATGCTAAACATCATACAATGCACAGGGACAGCCTTCCTCCTCCCCCCAAAAATGTCTGTTAGTATCCAAGTTAAGAAACCTGGTTTAAAATAAGAGTTCTGGGCTTCCCTGGTGGCACAGTGGTTGAGAGTCCGCCTGCCGATGCAGGGGACACGGGTTCGTGCCCCGGTCCGGGAAGATCCCACATGCCGCAGAGCGGCTGGGCCCGTGAGCCATGGCCGCTGAGCCTGCACGACCGGAGCCTGTGCTCCGCAACGGGAGAGGCCACAACAGTGAGAGGCCCGCGTACTGCAAAAAATAAAATGAAATAAAATTAAAAAATAAAATAAAATAAGAGTTCTGAACTTTGAACCATAGAGGATAAAGACCTAAAAATGAAATCCTGGCGTTAGTCTATCCCCTGTCCCCAAAACGTTTGAAAGAGACTGCAGTTGCTTTTTAAATCCTTAAAGCAAAAAAAAAAATTCCTTAAAGCAAACCCTGCATTGCTTCTAGATACGGTGCTTCCAGAGATATGGAAAACCAGAACAAGATAGGCACTCCCTATAGCAGATCTCTCACATTTTATTCTTGCATCTATTGGGTCTTTGCAGGACCTTAATTTGGAGAGGTTGGCTAGGTGACCAGAACTAATCCAGAGGCTTTAAGCATGACATCATAGGTTCTTGCAACCTCCCTTATATATGAAAGAGTGTGGATTTCTTTCAACTTTGCCTTCCCCAAGGAACTGTCTTGAGATGGTTCAGCATTAGCCTTTAATTAAGTATTGGTGCATGTGTACATATTCTTATTGCTATATTAAATTTTAACAAGGTAGATTAAAATGGGATAGTGTCCAGGACATGCCCTGGAGATAAAAGTAATACAGGTAGACAAACTAGAGGATAACCAAGTGCATTCGAATTCCATAAGTAGTTGTATAGACAAAAAGTATTCTGAGTGGGCTGCGTGGAAGTGATAGGAGTTTGCATAATATCTTGAAGCAGAGAAAAGACAGGACGTTCTTGGCTTGGCAGGGAAGTGGGCAGACAAAATGAGTAAAGGTGGTTGACTGTGTGTTTACCAGAAGGACAGAGAATATGAGAGAATCATGCCTGCATGTCCTGATTAAAAGCAGATGGCTATTTTCCCAAAGAAAAAATAAAAAATTCTTCAGCCAACTTGATTATATAAACTTTTAGGGATGGCAGCTTATTGATGAAAGAGTCAAATAAGTCAAAGTCTACTTATAATATTTAATTTAACGAAAATACATATATTTAGAATTGTGTATTTTATTTGAAAAATGTTGCTTTTCCTACTGACATTTTATAAAACAATTTTAAGGGTACTTCTCAATCACTACAGCCACATTTTGAGGAAATAAATCATTAGATGTTAGAGTTGGGAAGGAAGCTCAAAAAAGAAAGCAAGGCCAGAGAAGTTTGACTTGATGTAGGACCAAAATATATGTTGCATATACATATGTGAGTTTTTGTTGATAAAGTTGTGAATTGTCCATTAAAATTTCTGTAAAAACCAGTAAGTAAATTGTAGAATGCAATTCAGAAATTAAAATTTAGTAAGAGTTGAATCCTTCAGAATACCAATTTGATAGTCACAGTCATGAAAGATACTATGTTTACGTCTCTCTTCTAGTGAAAAGAAATTTAAGACATATATGTGAATTAAATTGTTAGGGAAAGTAAACAACACTGAGGAAATATTTCAGTATATTTCTAGCCTGTGATAAATGTATTTCTGAAAAGTTGCACTCCAAAAGAGATTGCTTTTTTTACAGTAATTCTGCAGTAAAGCTTGGGATAAGTGAAAACTGTCTCTTACTGATGTGTTTAAGTTTGTCTTACTGAGTGTTATGTTAAATATTTTTGACCCATAAAAAGAAATTGTGGCTTTGCCTTTCATGTTTTGTTTTAGTTGTCTTTAATATTCAAGCATCCTCAATTTCTAAGTTGCATTTTTGTAGATGACACAGAAAAACTACTTTTTTATTATAACATTTAAAATATAAACTTATGTCATAATTTTTAAACTATTTTTATTTTAAGGAAGAAGAGGTTTCTCCACAATTGTTTACTTTCCACGAAGCTGTCTCACAAATGGTAGAAATGGAAGAACAAGTTGTAGAAGATCACAGGGCAGTCTTCCAGGTAAAGTAAGACAGAATCTTTAATCAAATGTTTCTCTAGAAAAATTAACTACCAACTTTTGTAATTCTTTGAGTATCACACTAATCTAAAAATAATACTTGTTTATGTGTAAGTATATGTGTATTTGTAGGGCATATGACACAGTACGTTTTGAATAGAATGAATGATCACTACAAACAAACTTTCTTTGCAACTGTGATGGAAAGATCTACTTTATTTCTTCTGTTCTCCCACTTCATTTGCTTTTGTCAGTTGTCCGTTTATAGAGGAGTTGAACTTCTACCCTCCACTAGTCCCTTTCTTCATGGTAGGCCAGTTTGTTTGACAGCAGTAGGAAAAACTCTTCTAAAGGGTATCAGAACAATTGAGGAAGAGTCAGTCTTTGTAGAAAAGGAGGAGTGTTTCAGGAGAGTTACTGTACTGACTGAGCTGTCAGTGGCAGATGACTGAGGGGTATTATATCCCTTCCTATAGCAGTAACTCCTTAGGTATTTATCCCATTGTGTGTTAAACCTATTTAAAAAAACCTTTTACCATACGATCCTCCCCTCTCCCTTTTTATAAACAAGAAAATATTCTGGGGACTGCGCTGGTGGCGCAGTGGTTAAGAAAACGCCTGCCAATGCAGGGGACACGGGTTTGAGCCCTGTCTGGGAAGATCCCACATGCCGTGGAGCAACTAAGCCCCATGCACCACAACTACTGAGCCTGCACTCTAGAGCCCGTGAGCCACAACTACTGAGCCCACGTGCCACAACTACTGAGCCTGCACAAATAGAGCCCGTGCTCGCCAACAGGAGAAGCCACTGCAATGAGAAGCCCACGCACTGCAACAAGGAGTAGCCCCTGCTTACCCATGCATGTAGCAACGAACACCCAACGCAGCCAAAAATTAAAATAAAATAAATTTATTTTTTTAAAAAAAGGAAATATTCTGGAGGGTGATACCTTTGAGGAAGTGAAGATAATTTTGAACATATTTATGGAGACTGTACAGTCAGGTTGCCCCCCACCCCCTTCCCACAGTATATAAATCCTTTGTCCTGTTAACCTATATTCCTTCTCTGATGTTGAAGAAATCTTCATTTATCTGTAAACAGACATTAACATTCCTCAGCTCTCGCCATTCAAGCACTTGGATGAAGGTCTCAAAAACATAAGAGAACTGTTTATAACTTCAGAATAGCGTATACATTGATTAAAACTGTTACAGTTTTAAAAAAAAAATTTAAAAAAAAACTGTTACAGTTTTAGTCAAATCCATATTATGGAAATCTCTTCAGAGGCCTAGGTATTTAGATTAAATCAAAAAAGGACACTTGTAATTTAAGAAAATTGTTAGAACAATATGGACACCCATAAAACTCAGTCAGGTGAGGCTTTCAAACTCAAATTTATACTTGATGTGTCAGAACTAAATTGGTACATTTATAGAACAGTTGTGTGTGCAGCACAATTGAATTGTCTTGGAATCCAGCAGTAGACTTGTGAATGCCTTGTTACAATGAGGTATGCGCCACAACTACTGAGCCTGTGTGCTGCAACTACTGAAGCCCGCGCACCTAGAGCCCATGCTCTGCAACAAGAGAAGCCACCGCAATGAGAAGCCTGGGCCCTGCAATGAAGAGTAGCCCCTGCTCCCTGCAACTAGAGAAAGCCCGCACACAGCAACGAAGACCCGAAGTAGCCAAACATAACTAATTATTTTTTTAAAAAAGGAATGGTTTCCTTGAAGCATTTATGAATAGTAGTAAGTAGCTACTGTTTAGTGGTTCATTTGACTCTTCTAAAACGGGCTATCCTGGGAATTCCCTGGCAGTCCAGTGGTTAGGACTCTGCGCTTTCACTGTGGAGGGCGCAGGTTCAATACCTGGTCAGGGAGCTTAGATTCTGCAAGCCACACAGTGCGGCCAAAAAAAAATAGGGCTATCCAGTGTTCCCTTACAGTCGATAATATTGAAGAGCTAGTGTGTAGAATTTAGGATTACCTCTTGGCTCAACCACTGTGAGGCCCCAAATAGATATGTTAATTCCAGATGATTTACAAGTTCTGGGCTCCCATAGGCCTCATCAGATTGATCAGTAACTTTATTATTACACCCGTTGTCTCTCTGTTTTAGGGACAGCTGTTGAAGTTTGAGATTTACTATGCTCATTGATGTGTGTGTCTGTCTGATTCATTCCCTCCCCCAAACCCCAAAGTAGAGTAATAATAGGAAAATGAAGTCATCTTACTTGGCCTGTCACAGTGGTGTTTGTGTTCAAATTTAAGGAAATATTTCTTAGTTTTACTCTATAATAAAGATGTTTTATGGTTATTAATATTTTAGAGAATACTATCTTGAGTATGTTTGATTAACATGAAATTTATTAATTGGTTTCTGTCTTATAAATAGCCTCATTGGATTTTTTTTTTCTTGGTCATTTCAGGAATCTATTCGATGGTTAGAAGATGAAAAGGCTCTCCTAGAGATGACTGAAGAAGTAGACTATGATGTAGATTCATATGCTACACAACTTGAAGCTATTCTTGAGCAAAAAATAGACATTTTAACTGAGCTGCGGGGTAATTCTTTTTTCATTTTAGTGTTTGAAATCTGCCTAATATTTGTATGTAATTAGTGGGACGATTTCATATTGCAAGAAGATATCTGAAGTGAAAATTATGGGTACATTTAACATCTTTCTAGAGGTATTGAAGACCAACGAACCATTCTGATTTTTCTAAAAATGAAACATGAAAAATCATTTCAAGTGCTCTCTAGTCATCTTTTTTTTTAGTCTTTGGAGAAGGAAAAGACATCTTATGATTAAAGAGGGACAATATATTTTAACAAGTTTGTAAATTTTGTATACCCATTCAGAGTTTTAGTTTGGTGGGCCGATGCTTTTCAGAATTATTTTTCTTGGTTTAGGTCTATTACGGGTCATCTTTCTATAGCTTCCTATGTGCATCTCCTTTCTGTGCATATTGTCATGTTTTTCCTTTGAACACTTGTTTTAAAAAATGAAAGGGAAGGTTTCAAAACAACTCTTTCTACTTTGCTTATGAAGGGAGGCATGTGGTTTACCTACATGCCATGGCTTCTTTCTTGGCTTTTTAATTAGCTTATCTCTGCAGCTTCAGATAAGCATGTATTGTATGTGCTTTCTTAGGTTTTGGCAAATTAGCTATCTTCATTTATATGCAAGTAGGTTTCTTTGTGTGTGCATGCAGTGCAACATGAAACCAGACTGAAGTTGCTAGTTTTTAGCATCAAACAAGCTGCTTCAAATTTTTTAAACTAGGTTCTTTGTAAAGATTTGAAATCATATCTTATAGAGTCAGCAGTGACCGTTTTGCCAATTTAGAATTGTTTGTGCAGATGTAGGGTTTCTAAAATTTGCTGTTTTTCATGTTCTTCATATTCAAGCCTTGATTTAAAGTGTTTTGATCATTTTTCTAATCTGTCATAATGCACAAGCAGCTTTTTCGGTATGCATTTTATTCAGAAGACAGATCACAATGCATCCTAATTTTTTTTCTTTGTAAGATGTAGCTTTCAACTTAGTTCCTTTCCTTAATTTTCTCAGGATTCATGTATAAGCAAGCAAACTTTGAGGAAATTACTACCTAGATATTATTCAGTCCTTCCTTAGAAAAAATTTTTTTTACCATCCAGAGATAATTTTGTTATTAACATAAGAAGTTTGAGAGCTATTATCTTGTATTACCAGGCATCAAATCCAGAAGTCCTTAAATTCCTTTCTTATTTTTTATTATTTTTGGCTGTGCTGGGTCTTCATTGCGGCATGCGGGCTTCTCTCTAGTTGCGGTGCAGGCTTAGTTGCCCTATGGCATGTGGGATCTTAGTTCCCCAACCAGAGATCTAACCCGTGTCCCCTGCATTGGAAGCCAGATTCTTAGCCACTGGACCACTGGGGAAGTCCCCTTAAATTCCTTTCTAAATTTCAGAAAAGTCAACTTTTTCAACATCGTTTTACTTAGGAAGAGGGGAAAGAAATTGAGATACCAACTTTATATCTCTCCTTTTTTCTGAAAGCCATAATCTTTGCACATTTTAAGTTGGGAAACTGTTGGAAGGTGCTGTCTCGTGCATTGTGCGATGCTTACAAATATCGCTGGTCTCTACTGACTAGATGACAGTAGTACCACCCCAATGTGACAATCAAAAATGTCTGTAGATGTTATCAAATGTCCCCGGGAGGGGAGCGAAAATCACTCCCAAATTGAGAACCACTGTTATAGAAAGATTTCTCATCTTCACACAGCTATTATTTGCCTCCTCCAATTTTTACTTACGTATTTCTTACTCTTAAGTGACTGAATCAGTACACGATAGTAGGACAGAATTTTAAGGCCAAGAAATGTATGTCCTGTAATTTCCCTTCCCCATCATGCCCTTTTGCAATCCCTGATAAGGAAAAAATGACATGTCTTCTTAAAAACTCAAATAATCTTAAAATTTCATAGCTTAAAAAGGTAAAATAGGAATTGGGAATAGACATTTTCTAATATTGAGAGAAGAAATGTCTACTTTACACACATATATAGCCTCTTTACACTGCAAAAAGGAATTCAAATAAATTAAAATTGAATGCTGTAAAATGTGCCAAATAGAACAGAAATCTGTTGAAGATAACAAAAAAAACCCACAAGTATTTCCAGGGATCTAATGAGTCTGTTGCTATAGTTGAGCACTGTTATGAGTTTCTGGACAACAAAGAAGGAAAAATCCTGAGTTAATTAAGAGAGCTGATTTGATAGGACCCATAAAGTTGTGTGCTGCCTTGCATGTAATGCAAAACTTATTTCCTTGTTCTTTTCTTTTTCCAAGATAAAGTGAAGTCTTTTCGTGCAGCTCTACAAGAGGAAGAACAGGCCAGCAAGCAAATCAACCCGAAGAGACCCCGTGCCCTTTAAATCAGCACTTGCTGCTAAAGGATTCCCAGAACCCTCGCTACTGTAACATACAATGGTTCAGCTGTAAGGGCCATTCGAAAGTTTGAAATTTTAAGTGTCTGTGGAAAATGTCTTGTCCCTTCAACCTGAATGACATTTCAATTTTGTGAAACACTCCTTTGTCTACAAGATGCTTCTAGTCCAGGAGGCACAACCAAGGTTTGGGAATAGTGAAGCATTTTGTTTCATTTACCCACATAGTGATTTACTTTTGAAGATCCTTGCCAATTTTATTTTCTGTACGATGAAGTAAGATTGTGGACTTGATCCAGAGGTGAATAGTAGGGGGAAGCCACAGCATTTCCTTTTAACTCAGTTCAATTTTCATAGCAAGACTGAGCAGTTTTAAATCCTTTGCGTGCATGCATACCTCATCAGTGATTGTACATACCTTGCCCACTTCTAGAAACAGCTGTGCTCACCTCTTCCTGCTTTGTGCCTTGACTAAGGCTACTGACCCTAAATTTCTGAAGCACAGCCAAGATAAATTACATTCCTTATTTGTCATTGTAAATTACCTTTATTGTGTGTACATTTTTACTGTAATTGAGACATTTTTTGTGTGTGACTAGATTTGCAGGATGTGCCATATCAATGAATGGAACTAAAGTCTGTGACAGTGGACATAGCTGCTGGACCATTCCATCTTATATGTAAAAAAATCTGGAATTATGATTTTAAAACCATATAACATGTGGTTATAATTTTCTTAGCATTTTCTTTGTAAAGAACTAAAATATAAACTAGTTGGTGTATAATAAAAAGTAATGAAATTCTGAAAAGAGTTTTATCTTAGGATAATACATATATATGCAGTGTGTGTTCCAGTGTGGTATTAACAAGACTAATAGTGCAATTTGATCTTTACCAATACCATTACTTAAGTTGAAGTGTCCATTAGCACCCCAAAATGAACCTTTTAAATGGTACTGTTAAAGGAAATTGGCTTCTGATGCATGAATATGTACATGTACATTGAAAGTAGTCCATAATAGAACTGTTCGTTTAAGCCAAGAATAGACAGTACATAAGTCGCTTGAAAAAGAATTTAAGCTAAGAAAGAGATGACTTTGCCTTGAAAGGCACATCTGACCCAAGCTCCACCCATTACCTAATGTATGATGTTTCACCATTATTTGATGAGAATCACTAAATTCTCACCAATCAGTTCATCTAGGGCATGCTGCTTTTTAAATGGTGGCACTTATTTTTACAGATTGCTATTCCAAGGAAGAAAACTGGCCACTTTTCATGTAAATATTTTGTTAGATTTATATATCTCTCTAGGAGTTTTCCCTCAGTTCCCAGGATAGTGTCTAGGAGTACGTTAACAACAAAAAAGTCTCCCAAGGGTGTCTCGTTTTGATTTACTCTAGGGAACTACCAGCTCATTCATATGAGCTAATGGGAAGCTATGAATAGAGTCACATGAGCCAGATTCCCTACTTCACTGTCCACAGAACACAGAAGGCCGCCGTGGGAAATCCTAACACCATGGTGAAAAGCTCCTCTGTAAACTTGAAATCTAGAACAAGTGTAGATTTTCAGTGTGCTTATTATTAAATCTATGGAATGATCTTCAAAGGACATAGAGATATGTGAATTTACTCATTTTAAAGCACAACAGATAAGTCTTAATTTATTATTTAAATTAGAAGGGTACTATCTCTGGAAGGTCTCCTCAATTTGAAATGTACTGCCTTATACTATAATGGCTTCATTCTGATTAGTATTCAAGGTATATTAAAAATCAGTACCAGAAAAGATCTTGGTAGTATAATCCATTCCCTCAGTTTTACAGATAGAGAAATCTGAAGGTTATAAAAGGGACTGAAACTCAGCAGTCCATAGGAGGACAGGGAAATAAGAGGGAAAGCTGAATTAAATCTTAAATTTAAATTTTCCTTTAAGGATAGAGATGGTACAAGTGAACTTTGCTAATTAAGTAGTTTTGTGAGATTAAAAAAACCTACTCTTAATTATGTAGTATTTATGTAACAAAAGTGGCTTTGTGCAGTTATTATTTAAAGAATAACTTAAATTTTTTGGATCTGGATTAAACATTTACTTTCTCAGACTTGAAAGCTGATATCCCTATTAATAATTAACTAAAAATATACATTATTTTAGTTATATAGGAATGTTTTAATATATCACTTTGAAGCCAGATTTCTAAAAAATCTGTTTATGCAAACAACCTATCTTTTCCTTCTAGGTTCACTCAGTGTACCTCTGTTAAAATTTGGATTTTAACTTTAAAGCCAGTGTTGATTTATAAAACCCTTTGAAATTTTAAATCTATGACTATCTCCCCAAGAAAAAACATACAATCTTATAGTTCCTTTCATTCTAGTTGAGCATCCTCATTTACAAGTAAGAATGCCTAGAAGTAATATGCCTGGCACCATGTGGTGGCAGTAGCAGACTCAGGCTTACCTAGAACCCTAGCCTATTATGCTGCAGGATTGCTAAAGGGGTACGCAGTGATAGAAATTATACAGGATAAACAGAGAAAGAATGAGAGAAGCAAAATAACATTTTAGGAAACAATTGCTTTACTGTACACATGAATAACAAGAAGAAATGGTATGGGGAATATGTGACTAAATTAAGCATATTTTAACTTTCTTATGACTTGAAGAACAAAGGCCTAAAGAACTAAAATCCTAAAAAAAGGTTCTCACAGTAATATATAACATAGAAAATATTAGTGTAACATCTTTATATAATACACTGTTAGAAATAACTTTTAAGTGTAAAGTTGTGCGTGTCTGCGGCTCTTAAACTTGAAGAGTATCATGTATAAATTGGACCCTGCCCTATGTTGCATATTAAAATCAAACCAAAACCAAAAAAGAAACCTGTATAGTTAGAATTGACTTACTTCCTTAAAAATTCAGAGTAATAAATGGTGACAACAGTAGTAAATCAAAAATAGTCAAGCACATAGTGTCCAAGCATAGTTCATCTTCTCAAATTATTAAGAATATATAATTCTACTTTGTTGAGTTTGGAAACTTCTCTTCTGCAGATACCTAAGAAAAATGGATACCTTCTGCATTGAATCCATGTAGCAATCTGAAAAAAGAAACCAAGATGGGATGGTATTGAAATGCTAGTTTGTAGCAAGTAACAGTGCATACATAGTCCCTATACCATGAATTCTAAAACACAAATACATCAGCAAACCTGTGAAGCCCACCCACTCCTAACACTAGTCCGTAAAGAAACTTTATTCTTCAACTAAATTTATGAGATATATATTGGTTAAAACCACATCATTTTGGTGCCTCTTCTGTCATAGCCTGTATGTCTTAAGGCATGATGAATTTAAAATGATCTTAGACCTACACTATCCCTGGCCTAAGAGGACACTGGCCCTTGTTCCATTTCAACCTGGTAAGTGGATGTGAAGCTGTTTGGAATTAGAGGCAGGAGAGAGATGAATGGCTAATCTCATGTGTCCATTCTTCCTCTCTGAGTTCACTGTTACTGAGTTTCAAATTAAATACTGCTTCTCTCTGGATACCTGTGTACTTATTAGATCCTAGTTAGCAAACTGCATGTTTAGTAACCTTGAAGAAGATTAATAAGAATGAAGGAAAATAAGATGAAATATTTCTTCTTAGACCTGCCTGAGATTATTTTCAGAATGGCCCATAAGAACCATCGAGATGGGTTAAGATATCTGAAAAAGGAAGATAGGTACTTATGAATAATGTTCAACTCCTAGGATTAACATCTAATAAAGACTCAGTAGTACTGCTAGCCTGCCAATAAAATATAAGCTCCATTTGTCTCAATTACATACAACTATGTTTCTAGCATAGAAAAGTCAAACCAATGACTTTTATAACAATCTACCCTCTTTTTATCAGCCTCTAGACCATGGAAGCTTTAAAAATGAATTGGATAAACAGGAAAAAAATTATGGTTTATTAGTTAGGAAATCAGAGTGTTAGTGATTAAAAACAATGAATACAGGTTAATAATTACCTGGGTAATTTGACGCCTTACTCTGCTTTGCTAAGACTTACTTGCTTAATCCAAGGAAAACAAATTTCGGTCTATATTGCCCAGTTAATTATGACACCCTTCTTTTGCTTCAGGTGTGTGGAACTTGCCTCAGTCCACAAAATAAGTTACTGAACCAGTTAGAAATGATAACCAGATATGACTGTAACTAATATCATTTCATACTTAAAAGCTATTCTCAATAAAAAAAAAAGACCCAACTATATATATTATGATTCTTTTACCTTACAGGCTACTTTGAAGAGACAAACTGTTAAGACTAACTGTGAATGGGAGTTGGGGGAGGAGGCTAGAGGGGAGGAGCATGCACACCACCACACACATTGCCACAGAGGTTATCTCCAGGCTCGGACTGTTCTCCACCACTGTTCTTACAGAAAGTGTTCATTCTGCTGCAGCTAACTAGCCTCCGTCTTCTACACCAAATACTATTCCATACCATGGAAGTGCTATGCAATAACTCCCAGGTAGCACCTTATACCACTTAAAAGCCTTTAAATTTCTAAATCTGAAGGTGTCACAGTAAAGATATGTAAAAATGTAGGAAAAGGAAAATGTAGTTACCTAATGAAATCATCTATGTCCATGGAACGGGCCCGCTTGTCACTAAAACCTGTGCTGGTTAGGATTTGCTGTATTTTATCTGCTATGCTGAAATCTTCTGGTATTATCTATCAATATAAGATTCAGAATAAATGAACAACATATCTTTAATGAAGTCACTTTGACTCTTTTTTTTTTTTTTTTTTTTTTTTTTTAGTTCAGTAAGTCATAAACAGTCACCTTATCTGTTCATGATATTTGGAAAGCCTGTTTGTGCAGATTAAGACTTGGATCTCTCATTAGTTAAGTGGTTGATTTTTTAGCATATACCAAATACACAGAAGACCTTGAATGAGTTAAATCATGTATATTGCCCTTTTTCTTCTTAGAAATTCTGAAATAGTTGTTTCAGGCATCACAAAGTACTTCATAACACATAAAATAATTAAAGCTATAAAATAAATTTTACAGCAATTGTTACTTCTTTAAAAGTAACATATTCTTGGTACAAATTTCATTTTACCAGCTAGTTAAGTTTTTCTCATAGATGGCCTCTCCAACCCTTGAAAATATTTCATACTTTACATCTTTCATCTAAAAATTTGTCTTAATCGAGCATAATATTTCCTACGTAGGTAGATGTACAATGACTTTATTCATAAAATGGAGGTAGCAATGTGGTACATTAAACCATGTAAGATCTGAGTAAAAAAATACAAAAGAAATTTGCTTTTATCTGTCCGCTCCATTTAATTAGCTTGAAAGAACTAAAAAGTTATCAAACATCACAGTCATTATATATATGGATATGTCTGTGTGCTCACACACACAACTAGTTAAAGAAAATGTTGCACAGATAATATAATACAGAGACATGAGGTTCACAACCAGAAATCTGCTATTTATCTCATACTTTGTTCTAATTATTTCAATTTCTGGGTATTAAAAAAAAGTCACTGAGAAAATAGTAACTTTAAATTTGTAATTGCTACGTAAGCAACAAGCAAGAAGGGACGGCCACAATTCAAAGGCTAGCAAATGGTACACAATTATTTTACGCTGAGTAAGTTACACAAGCTTAAAACTTTGAGAAAATTATGATTCAACTGAATCTTTTTATGGCAAAAAAAAAAAAACCGTCAGTAAAAGAGGATGGAGTGGAGTATTCAAGGGTGTTCAGATATGTTCTGCAAAATACATAGCAGCACTGACCTGTTAGAATTCAAGTTCTAGTGCTAGTTAGACATGACATACTGTCTTTTAAGGATCCTATGGAATGTTCAAAATTAAGAATCTTGTAATGATATATGAAACAGAATAGGAAATAGAGGGACATTTTAAAACAGAACAAATTATTGAAACAACAGAAACATTTTCTGCTTACGATATTATGGACCGAACAGTGAATTCTGTAGTTTTTTTCCAGTAGCTGTTGCACTGCACTTGACCTGTATTACATAAAGACATGATATCACTATTATTCCCAAGTCAGATTATAAATAATTTCCTTTAAGTTTATTATAAGATTAAATTTATGTTCCATATGGCGAAATTAAGGAACTAAAAAAGGTGTTGAATATTTAAACTTCTGAAATAATCGCAACTACTAATATTTAAAAAGTAAGTCCTGATAAACATCTCTCACATTCTTAAAGAAGTTCTAGACTCCACAAAACATCATCTACAAACATTTTTTTTTTCATTGTGGCTTTCACCTTTCTTTTGACCTTGGGCCCCAAATTGCTGTTATATTTTTCCAAGTTAAAATGCCATAAATCTTTTAAAAATGTGGACGGGGTCCATCATCACCTCATCTTTCCAAGGAAAAACTAGGCAGGATGTGTGGTCAGTTTTTGGTTATTTCCCATTTTGCAAACAAAAACCTGATCTAATTCCCAAGTCCAGGAACTTTTCTTCATTAAGTTCTCCTGCCTCACCAAGTACAAAATTAAAAAGATAGGGCTTCCCTGGTGGCGCAGTGGTTGAGAGTCTGCCTGCCAATGCAGGGGACACGGGTTCGTGCCCCGGTCCGGGAAGATCCCACATGCTGCGGGGCGGCTGGGCCCGTGAGCCATGGCCGCTGAGCCTGTGCGTCCAGAGCCTGTGCTCCGCAACGGGAGAGGCCACAACAGTGAGAGGCCCGCGTACCGCCAAAAAAAAAAAAAAATTAAAAAGATAATAATGTGTCTGGACATGGATCATGTTTATGCTTTAGGGTATCTGTTCAGGAAAAAGGACCAAATTCTAGCACTTAGCACAGTATCTGAAGCACTGATCCCTCATATATCATAAATTAGTAAAATACTTACTTAAATGCAGCAGACAGTGTCTTGTTTTTCCTAACAAAGGTGATCCTTACTAGGCCATCCCATTCCTGAAACAGTAGATGGATATTTTCTTACAGAATATTAAACCTGCCTATACCTACTAGGTATTATTTTGTGTTAATATATAAAAATGAAAGGAGTGATGTAGTGATGAAAATGTTCTATATCTGGAGTGATGAAAATGTTCTATATCTTGATCTGGCTGGCACACATATGCAAAAGTAAGATGCATACTTGATTTTCACACTTCTGTGCACCTCACTGAATATTTTACCCTCAATTTTAAAAATAGAAGAAAAATACATATTTGTTCCACATCTGAACAAAGAACATGGCATTTATTTAAATCAAAGTATCATTTTCAAAAAACTCAAAACAGACATGATTTAGAATATAGCCTGTACAATACACCTAAGTAAACCTTGCAGGAATAACTGACAACCACTCCACTGCCACCAGTTACTGACCACATAAGCAATCACGTTTTTATACCATGTGATTGCAGTAAGGTTTTACATCACATCATCTGGCTTTCTTCTCTTTTTAAATGGCAGAAATTAGAATTTTGATTAAAAAGTGTTACTCATACTATTTAACACAACTATTTTCATTTTATCTTGTTTTCCATGTCTTATTCAAATAGATACGTGTTTTCCATAGCTATAATCTTCAGCAAATTGCAATGGCATTCTAATCTTTTTACCTTTTGCAAACATTTCCCATGCTCTTGAGGTCCTCAACAACTATCTTGTGTCAAACAATTACATCTACTCCATCACAGGGATGTATCATAATTAACACTCTCCTGTTTAGACATTTAGGTGGACTCGTTACCTTTCTGCTGCTACAGACACACATCTTCCAGGTTGGACTTTTTTTCCCTTTACTGAATGACCTAGTTATTTTAACCTCACCTGAAAATTGATAGGTGGTGGTGGATTCTTAGGTTCTATCCTTACGACACTGGATTCCACCTTGGGCGGTGGTCTGAAGTTATTCTTTCCAACCTATTAATCAGAAAATGTTTAAGGAGTCCTCTCAAAAACAACTTTAAATAGTAATCAAATATGCTTTCCTCCCAGAAGGCACAGCTAGATGCTCAAGGATGAGTTAAGCCACATTATTTCAACAACAGTCACGTACTTTCATTAGATGGTCCACACGTGCTAATAGCTGTGTATTAATTGACAGTCTGCAGTATAACTTATCCCCAGGTTTTGCAACCAGTCGGAGAGCAAATTCTCTTTGAAACATAAGTACAGCACATCTGAAAAGACAGCAGAAAGGAATAAGGAACAAGGTCATTTTCAACTATAAATGTATTTTAACTGCAATGACTTTTCTTAAGTGGGAAATAGAGCAAAGCAGTATCTGGGGTTAATAATTAGTCCAGCTGGCCAGAAGGGAGGAGAACACTTTCAACCTGAGCTTTATTACCACAAAATGATCCAGCTGCCTTTGTTTTTCATTGTGTAATGGCCGTAGCTCCAACCCCTTGCAAATGTAAGCCCTCAATGATCAGATGAGAAAGTATTTCAGATCAGCACTAGTCCATAAGCCCCTCTAGGAAAACAAAACCCAGGGACTTCCCTGGTGGTCCAGTGGTTAAGACTCTGCCTTCCAATGCAGGGGACGCAGATTCGATCCCTGGCTGGGGCACTAAGATCCCACTATGCCACAGGGCAACACTACTAAGCCTGCACGCTCTGGTGCCCAGGTGCCACAACGAAAGAGCCCACGTGCCTCAACTAGGACCCGACACAGCCAAATAAATAAATAAACATTTTAAAAAACAAAACCCAAACGAACAAAATTGGTTCAGTAGCCGAACTGTATTCATGGGGTGGTAAACATCCCTGTGGAAGAGCGGAGGCAGATTGTGACATCAGTGTCCTCCTGGTTTAACAGGTTAAGGAAAGTGGACTTTTTATTCAGCAAGCAAGGGGGAAGCTCCTGAACAGGAGAAGAGCATCTTCAAAGCTGGGATTTGACTTTCAAACTTTTTTGACAATAAGAAACACTAAGAAGTACGTTTGACGTTGCAACACCTGCCACAAATCTCTCTCTATATATATGTTTAGGGAACTCAAACAAAAAGTTTCATGAAACTATGATCACCTTGATGACATGCACTGAATGCCCTCTGATATATTCTATTCCATGTCATTTTTTTCTAAATGACAGTCATGGGGCTTCCCTAGTGGCGCAGTGGTTAAGAGTCCGCCTGCCAATACAGGGGAAATGGGTTCGAGCCCTGGTCCGGGAAGATCCCACATGCCATGGAGCAACTGGGCCCGTGAGTCATGGCCGCTGAGCCTGCGTGTCCAGAGCCTGTGCTCCTCAACAAGAGAAACCACCGCAATGAGAGGTACTCGCACCACAACGAAGAGTGGCCCCCGCTCGCCACAATTAGAGAAAGTCCACATGCAGCAACGAAGACCCAACGCAGCCAAAAATAAATAAATAAAATTTTAAAAAATGACAGTCATGGCTCACTATTTTATAACTACTAAGGAGTTTTTGACCTGTGATTTGAAAACTACTGGTACAGACTGTACTAGAAACCAGTTAGGAGGCCACTGTAAGAATCTAGACATAAGGTAATAAAAAGTTTGACCTGGGCTAATGGCAAGAGCATGAGAAAATAGGGAAAGGCCACCTGGTCCCAGGAGCAGGACTTAGACCACACCTCCCCCAAGTAACTCTGGCAATTGAAAAAGAAAGAGAGAGAAAGAGAGAGAGAAAGCAGCACACAAATTGGTATTTTCTACAAAACAAATTCTCCAGTAGTTTTTCAACTGAATTAACCTTAATCTTTGGCTGTCTGTGTTCATGGCCTAAACTGTCAATTTTCCTAAGATTTGGCAGTAACTTTGCTCTTCTTGTCACAAACCTGAAAAAAGGTCGGTGCAGCAACAGCTTGAAGACAAAAGGAGAAGAGATCTGTAAGAGAATTAACTAGTTAGTTCTGGGAAAGACACACCAGAAAACAATTTAGTATATATAATGTTCCCTACATTTTGAAAACACACCTGATAAGGCAAATTTGCCACACAAGCATCAAAAAATGGCAAATCTGTTTTCAACACATCACCCACCATTACTTGAAGTTTGCTGGCCAGAGGCCTGATAATAAGAAAAGAAAAGCAATTAAAAAGAATATTGTTTCATGAGACTGAAATGCACTTTAATTCTATTATGTATACTCACGTGCCCTGAACTCTTTTGTGAAGTTCAGCTACTAGCCTTAGGTCAAGTTCACAGGCTATTACCTAAATTTAAAAAAAAAATTTTTTTTAGGTTAATTATGGAGTATAAATCTTTTCCTGTTATCTCAATGGAAACTCTTACATGATTTAAATGAATTAAACTCCTTTTCCCAATTCTACCATCAATATTCCTTCAACTGTACTCTACCAGCATATTTTAAAGAACTTATTTAAGAGAATTTAATGAAGAGAGTATTTACAAAATGTGGGAATGGGGTTAAGGGAACAACAACAAAAACACCACCCAGAAAAGTAGACAACCGGACTATGTGAGCTTTCTACCCAAATAATTGACAGAAGTATTGTGGTCATATGGCTCCACGCTTTGTAACTCAACTGATGACGAAAAAAATACACAATATGTCTTTGTAGTAAATGTTCTTAGAAGCACACAAAGCAACTGCTCCTGGAATGAGTATATCACTTCTCTCATTTACTGAGATCCAGAACATACAGCACAGATAACTTCTCAAGTAAATGAAAAGGGATGCCAGATAGGCTAAAATTTTAATTTTATTTCAATATAAGCTGAGGTTTTACTGACTTCCAGGAAGACCACATCTACAGAGTAGATATATGTGCCGTTTAGTCTGTTTAGCTCCCAGGTCCATTCTCCAGCTTTCTCTGTGCCTGTAGGGTCATACAGTTCAGCTCTGTTGCCCTTTGACTTCTGGTTGGGATTGGCTACTGAAAGGCAACGGCCTGATGAAAGGCATTACTGGTGCAAGGGGCAACGTTGAGTATTTCCTAACGTCTGGCCGTGCCTTGCACAAGGTTTTGGCAGCGGCTGTGTTCTGCTATGAGTGGCCCCTGTTCGATGGCTCCTGCTCTTACTGGGCTCCGGTAACACACTTCCCTCCTCTTACCCCTTGAGGTCTTTGGATAGTAACTATTTCCTGCTGTTGCTATTCCCTAGGTTTTTCACTAATGTTTACTGGTTCCTTCAAATTCCCACATTTTGTCAATGGTCTCTTCATTGAGCTCTCTTCAGATAAGTTCTTTAAAATGTGTTGTCTACTTCCACCAGAAGACACAACAGTGGTCTAATTTAACTGGAACTAGGTAAGCCAAGAGACAAAGAAGGTACCATCAGTGGCCAGGTGACACCCTAATCTCAGAGGCCTGTGCTAGATCTCCTCCAAAGTCCTAAGGTCCAATAACTCCAATTGCTGTGCTTTGTTCCCCTGAGCCTAGAGGTGGTAGCTGCTCTCTGTAATTACTACTATTGAGTTACCTCAGTGTTCCCATTTTTTCTCTTAGTCCTCTAGTAACCATGTAACCAATTCCCTATATTAAATTCCCTGTACTGAAATATCCAATGTGGTTTGTTTTCCTGATTGATATACCCCATATTTTCTTTTTCTTTTAATCCATTTTTAAAAACTGAGATACAATTGACATATAACATTACATTAGTTTCATGTGTACAACATAATGATTAGGTATATGTAACATTCATGACCACATAATTACAATTTTATTTTCTTGTGATGAGAATTTTTACTCTCTTTAGCAACTTTCAAATATACTACACAGTACTGTTAACTATAGTCACCATCATGTCCATTACATCCCACGGCTTACTTGTTTTATAACTGGAAGTTGGTACCTTTTGACCCCCTTCACCCAGTTCGCTCATATTTTCTAAGATAGTTTCTAGCAAAGGAGCAATTAATTAAATAGATCTGTAAGCCACCTGAGCTTGCTCACATAGTAATTTCTGATACCAAACAAGAGGATACCAAAATCCTCTTTTTACCTTTTTCGCCTTTTCTAGCAACTTTACAGTCATATTGCCAGTTCCAGGTCCAACTTCCAGCACCACATCAGTTGGTCTTAAGGCAGCCTACAAGCAAGCACAACCACTTTAGCTTTACAGGAACATCTGTAATAATTTAATTTACATCTGAATATCTTTACTCAAAAGTGCTCAGTTAGATCTTATCCTGACTCCCTTTTTAGAAGATTCCTTCATGATCTATGTGCTTAACAAAATTATCTCATTAACATTAGGTGCAAGTGGAAATCTAACACCTCTCCTAACTTGGGGCAATAGTTAGGAGTAAGAAAAGCAGGAATAGCAGTTCTTTCTGAGAGTTGCATTCTGCTTTCTACCTTTGAAGTGATTCCAACAGCATCTTGTTATCAACTCTGTTATCACCAAGTTCAAACTGGAAAGGTCAAAATGATGACCTTGCCTGAGAACCATAACACGTTGTACCAGTATTTCTCAATTCTACATCCATGTATGGTTTCAGGGATGCAGGAGTATCCAGAAATTTTACACAAAACTTGGTGTCTGTATGCACACAGCTGCAGTTCATAGCTTTCATCAGATGCTCAAAGGAATCCATGAGCCAAAAAGGTTAAAAAGCTAGGCCAACTCTCATTCTGTAAACGACACTAAGTCGAGATTATCTATGTAATGTTCTTTCTACAGCTCCAGGATGCTTCCTTTGCAATCCTGAAAGTAATTTGCACCATCTGTGTTTCTTGTCCTAGCACCCAATCATCCAAAACAATAAGAGAACATCAATAGACCCATACAGGAAGAATACTCCAAAGAGTTTATATGTGGCATTGGCTTATACCATATAGGTTTCTCTGGGGAACAAAGTTCCAAAAGTGTCTGTTTAGACATAATTTTAGGGTCTGGAGTAAATAAAAACTAACAGTGATAGATGGTGCCTAGAAAAAGTGATTGGGAATAAACTAATAATCTGGAATCGAACAAGTAGAAATGTTAAGCTAAGAAGTAAATAATCTACAGAAAGATAAAAGAATTTGGAGCTAGGAGAAACCGAGACCCACAGAAGGAAGCAAATCATATTGAAGACAGTTTGTGAATCCTACACAGTTCCTCAATTCATTCAACAAGTATTTATACAGCATCTATTTTGTGCCAGGCATCCTTTCTGTGCTTAGATATTCCTAAGAATAAAATCAGTAACCCAATAACTCTCTCCCTCTCCTCTTCCACACCCACCTTATCGATAATGCTGTTCACAATGAGAGGATTTTTCAAAACGTGCTGCCCAATCCCCGTGTTGAACATGAGTCCTGGAAGAAAACATGAACTAGCCTTAATATCCCAACTAAAATCAAATATTGGACCATCCCAGAGAAGAAAGCAGGATAGTTGGGTTAAAGTATGTGCGCCAACGAGAGCCACCAAACGTCATGCTTAGAGCCGGGATGACAGTTTCAGTTCACCCCTTCTGCTGGACAGGAAGCCAGAGGCTGCGCGCCGGGCCTGCGGCCCGCGCTCCGGGAAACCCGGGACTTGCGCGGCTCCCAGAGCACGGGCCACGCCTGGTCTCACTGTCCCGGCCCAGAACTCCGTCCTCGCCCCGGGTTCGGTCCTGCCGGAAGACCCAACCCGACTGACCCCAGCTCCCTCCCGGCTGTCCCCACCTCCTACGCTCTTCAGCTCCCGGCGTTGTTGTTGCCGCTGGCGGCACCGGCCGCTCGCCCCTGCCTTGATCTTCGGCATCTCTGCAGGCAGCAGGCCCACAGGCCGGTGAAGTTAGAGAGGACCGGAGCCTGCAACCGCGAGTCACCGAACCACGTGGGAATCGCCGGCCCGCACCAACAGCCCAGGTTCTGGCCACGTCTAGGAGGGGCGAGGACCCGCCCACTGGTTTGCTCCGTGGTGCGCCCCCAGAAAGAGGGCCGACCTTGGGGCCCGCTGGCCGCCGGGAACTGAAGTCATAAGCTGGGAGAAAGCCTGGCCTCGGAAGACTACATATCCCAGAAGACACCGCGCTACCGATTCTGGCAGTTTGGATTGGCTAATTTGGAATCGGGGGCGGGGCCTCGCCCCTACCCACACCGAATGGGTTAAATAGGTTTTGGTGTGGTACCTCAAGGTTGTGGAGGAAGTTTAAGTTATATTAACGTAGTTAGGCCTGTGGATGCTTCATCAGGCCAGGTTCTGGAATCGCTGAAATCCAAAGAAGGTTTCTTTTTGTTACGTGCCTCGCTCCTGTTTCCCAGCCGATCGTGGGGTGAGAATCCCAGGAACCTGGGAAGAGGAGCTTGCTCCTCTAGGGGAGTGAGTTCTCCGCTGCTTGAGTTGTGGAAAGTAACTCTGAGAATGTAATTTTCTAGTTCCACTAGAGCTACTAGTTGCTTCGCTTCCTTCTGTGCCACGTCATTAATTTCCTAAACTTTTCCATATTGAGCTCTAGATGTGTATTAAACACTATTGGGTGCTAGAGATTCAAAGTTAAATAGGAAACTGCTCTTCTCAAAGTTTATTCTACTGAGAGAGTTAGACAGAAAGTCCGAAACTCTGTAAATGTGGTAATTGTTATGCATTGGGTATTTGATAGGACAATGTATCCGACTGTAAGTTCCATGAATACAATGTCCATGTCTATTTTGCCTGCCATTGTAATGGTTCTCAGTTTTTAATGTTTCTGTGTGTACCTTATTTCCTTGAAGAAACAATCTTTTTATGTTTTTACCAAAGCAGACTTTCTTTCCTGCACAATTGATTGTGAGCATTCCCAAGCCTTGCTCTTTCTTCGCTGTAATTCTAATTTAGGAAAAAAAATTTGTATACCCTAGTAGCATCTTCAACTACCTCTTTAATTCCACTGATCATTAATTTATTCCACAATTCTGGAGAATCTACAGTGTGCCAGGCACTTTGTCAAATGTTAAGAATTTAAGAATGAACATGACCTGATTCCTGCTTTTAGGAAACTGGGGAACATTTTCAAAATATAATATTTGAGCTGAATCATTAAAAGAGAACCAAAAATTAGCCAGGGAAAGTTTGAAAATTCAAAGGGAACGGTACTAACAAAGTCAAAATATAAGGGTATTTAAGGAAGAAAAAGAAACTTGATGTAGCTGAGAAGTAAACAGGTAATGTAAATAGAAACTTAGGGTGAAGGGCCTCAAATGTTATCCCAAGGAGCAATGGTGGTCACTGAGGAATCAAAATATCCATTTTCCCTCTCCACTCCTCTCCAGCTGTGAGAACTGCTGGAGCTCACACAACAGTACCTGTAGGAGACATTCACGGGCTCCACATTTAGCTGGATTCTGAATGCTGCCTAGCCAGCTCTTCTTGAACTCCCTCTAATCTTCCTCTCCCTTTCTCCATAAAGGATCTTCAAATCTTAATTCTTCTCAGGCCTCCTGCCCTACCACCTCCCCAGCTCCTTCTCAGCAGAAAACCTTGCTTTTTCTTTTTCTTTTTTTTAACATTTGTTATTTATTACAGTGAAATTGCCTAGTTTCCTTAGTTCAGTCACCTTTCTTCCTTTCTTTCTTCCTTCCTTCCTTCCTTCCCTTCCTTCCCTTCCTTCCTTCCTTCCTTCCTTCCTTCCTTCCTTCCTTCCTTCCTTTCTTTCTGCTGTGTTGGGTCTTCAATGCAGTGCACAGGCTTCTCATTGTGGTGGCTTCTCTTGTTGCAGAGCATGGGCTCTAGGCGCGTGGGCTTCAGTAGTTGTGGCGCATGAGCTCAGTAGTTGCGGCACATGGGCTTTGTTACTACACGGCCTGTGGGATCTTTCTGGACTAAGGTTCAAACCCGTGTCCCCTGCATTGGCAGGCGGAGTCTTAACCACTGTGCCACCAGGGAAGTCCCGACCTTGCTTTTTCTTGACAGAAGGAATGCAAGATCACCTCCAGGACACTCTCATCTTCCTGGGTCACTGTTCTACACACGGGGGTGTGTACAGTGAGTGGTGAGCAAAACAAAGTGGAGCTTACATTCTAGTGAGGAAAAACAGACATTATGTCAGGTGATGATAAGTATGAAGAAAAAAGTAAAGTAGAGGAGAAAGAAATCAACAGGGTAGGTGGGAGAGACTATTTTATGTAGCATGATAGACAATAAGGATGGAAGCCAAATGATAATTTTCTTTAGGAGTGAAATAGCAAGACCCTCCTGGAAGTTGTCACAAAATAAGCCACATAAAACTAAATGACTGAGGTGAGTGTGCACATTTAGCTTACCTACAGACTGAATTGGTGTTTGTTTAGGTATGAACCTTGAGTCACCTATATCTGAAAAACTAGGGCACATGTTACATAGTGGACTGTGTTTCCCCAAAATTCATATGTTGAAGCCCTAAACTCTGGTACTCAGAATGTGACTGTATTTGGACATAGGGCCTTAAAAGAGGTGACTAAGTTACAATGAGGCCTTTAGATTGTGACCTAATCCAATCTGACTGGTATCCTTATGAAAGGAGGAAATTTGGACACACATAGACACACCAGGGATGTGTATACACAGAGGAAAGACCGTATGAGGACACAGCCAGAAGGCAGCCATCTGCAAGCTAAGAAGAGAGGCCTCAGGAAAAACAAACCCTGCTGACACCTTGATCTTGAGTTTCTAACCTCCAGAACTGTGAGAAAATAAATTTCTGTTATTTAGGCCATCCAGTCTGGGGTATTTTATTATGGCAGCCCTCACAAATAAATACCACATGTAATGAAAATTCACATTCCCAAGGCCTACCCTAAACATTCTGGATCAGAATAGGATTTGGCCCTGGCAAATGCATTTTTAACAGACCCTCTAGGAGATTCTGATGCACACTGCAGGTAGGGATTCACTACTTTCTGCACTAAAATAACATATTTAGTTGAGGAATTTCTACAGAACTGAAAAAGGATGGGAAGGGCACCCTCATCAGTACAGGAAAATTGTTCTAATAATTGGTATTGCTTATTATTCTGGCCAAATTCCATCCAATTGTTGGGATTTTTTTTTCTGTTAGTACCAAGGTAACATTCAGAAGTGAGACAGTATTGGGTGCAGCATGGATCCATGAGCCCTAGGGAATGT